GCACGGGGGGACAGCTTGTCCGCAGACAAGTCGCGGACAAACGCCCGAGATCCCCAGACCCGAAACGCAGACGCATCGCCAACCTTCCCCGTCCACCGCAAGGTGGGGGAGGTCTCTGGCAAGGAGACCCGGGGCTGAAGGTTGAGCTGATGCGCTGCGTACTGAACCGCAAACGGCCTCAGAAAATGGGGGGCAGCCGCATGGATCATGGACGTACGAGCGACGTCCATGACCATGCCAATGCGGCGCTCAGCAATCCCATTTTGCTGTGGAGAGGCCGGAAGCGTGAAGGTCTGGCGGATGCCCTGTGCACGACAGAAGGCTCCCAGACGGGCAGAGGAAAACTCCCCGCCTCTGTCAGAGTGCAGACGCAGAACAGGAAAGTCCGATCCGAAACTCTCTCTGAGCTGGAGACGAGCTGCGCGGATCCAGTCGATCAACACCTCAGTGACGTCACCCTTGCTGCGCAAGGGGAAGACCGTGGTGTAACGCGAGTAGTCGTCAACCACCAACAGGAAGTAACGCTCGTGACCCTGGCCACGGACGCGGGCGGGGCCCCACACGTCCATGTGAAGAGTCTGCAGCGGAGCCTCTGTCGGAGGAAACTCGGAGGAGTGAGGGGCGGCGCGCTGTCGCCCCTCGACGCAGGGGACGCAGGTAGGGGCAGGCCCCGGAGGTAGGGGAGGGAGAGACCGGGGGAGACCAGAGACAAGGACACGGGAGGCCATGCCTCGAAGACGAGGCATGGAGGGGTGACCAAGGCGGTGGTGCCAAAGGAGAGTCTGGTGAGACAGGAGACGAGACGAGCAGGGAGCAGACTCTGGACCAGACCTGGACGCAGCAGCAAACACCTGACTCGACGCAGCTACCTGACCAGACTCAGCAACCGGAGGAGACTCAGTAGTCAGGGTGTACAGGCTCGACCCCGGCCGACGGGTAAACGTGGCCAAGTGGCGGCCCGTCCGCGCACACGTACAGTGGGTCACCCGCTGACTCGCAGGAGTGAACTGGTCAACCCCCCGATCTTGTAGATCAGCACCACTCACCAAGTTCGTAGAGAACGAGGGGAGGTAGAGACCTGACAGGGTGCCAGAGGGGGCTGCCGGACACGGTAAGACAGTGGAGAAGCGAGCAAGGACAGGACCCCCAGAGGGGTCCGCCAGGGAGACCGCAACCGGCCGACTGAGCGGCGTAAGCGTGGTGCGGTCTCGAAAGAAGGAGCGGGAAGCACCCGAGTCAAGAGTGAAGGTGTGTAAGGCCTGAGCCGACGTGGTACCTGAGAGAGCAGACTCACCAGCAGCTGGGGCAGCAGACGCACTAGCACCTAGAGCAGCAGCCTCACCAGCACCTAGAGCAGCAGCCTCAATGCCCGGGTCAGGCGGAACACACAGGTAACAGTCACCCTCATCACTAGTAGGCAATGCATACATGGCAATGAGGATAGCATCATAGTCAAGAGTATAGATATCTACCCGCAGCCGAAGCAGCTCCACCCAGTCGGGGAGCTCAGCCGCGTCGCCAAACTCCGTACGCCAGGCGTCGCTCAGACGGGCGAAGCAGCGGGACTCTGCGTGACCCAACGTCCCGCAAGGCTGACCAGTCCGAGCACCAGTGCGAATGACGTACGGACAGCGAGCAGTACCCCGTGACCCGTCACGCTGAGCGTACCACTCACGAAGCTGCTGGGGCGAAAGGACCGCTCGCGGACGACGCTGAAGCTGCACCTGGCCACTACAAGCAGCTGCCGAACTACTCACTCCAGGACGACTCCCACTACGGCCACCCCGACAACCCCAACTAGCGTACCACTCACGAAGCTGTTGGGGGGTGAGGGACTCACGCGGGCGACGCTGCAGCTGCACCTGGCCACTACAAGCAGCTGTGGAACTACTCACTCCAGGACGACTCCCACTACGGCCACCCGGACAACCCCAACTAGCGTACCACGCACGAAGCTGTTGGGGGGTGAGGGACTCACGCGGGCGACGCTGGAGCTGCATCTGGCCACGCCAGGAGCAGCAGTAGCAGTAGAAAGAGCAGCAGCAGTAAGAGCAGCAGTAACAGCAGTACGGGCAGGGCAGTGCTCACCAGTGGCGAGAAGGGCAGGCGTACGACGGCGGCAACGGCGAGGCCGCTACCACTGTAGAGCGAGAGCTCCGCGGCAGCTGCAGGGGTGGCTGCTCCAGGGGCGGCAGTTGTAGGGGCGACTGCTCCAGAGGCGGCTGCTCCAGGGGCGGCTGCTGCAGTGGCGGCTGCTCCGGGGGCGGCTGCTGCAGTGGCGGCTGCTCCGGGGGCGGCTGCTGCAGTGGCGGATGCTCCAGGGGCGGCTGCTGCAGTGGCGGCTGCTCCAGGGGCGGCTGCTGCAGTGGCGGCTGCTCCAGGGGCGGCTGCTGCAGTGGCGGCTGCTCCAGGGGCGGCTGCTGCAGTGGCGGCTGCTCCAGGGGCGGCTCGGCTGCTGGGCGACTCGGCGGCTCAGCTGCTGGGCGGCTCGGCGGCTCGGCTGCTCGCTAGGGGCGGCGACGGGGCCGGGTAGGGGCAGCGACGGGGCCGCTAGGGGCGGGGAGCGGCGACGGGGCCGCTAGGGGCGGCGACGGGGCCGCGTAGGGGCGGCTACGAGGCCGCGTAGGGGCGGCGACGGGGCCGCGTAGGGAGGGAGGCGGCGACGGGGCCGCTAGGGGCGGCGACGGGGCCGCGTAGGGGCGGCGACGGGGCCGCGTAGGGGCGGCGACGGGGCCGCGTAGGGAGGGGAGCAGCTACGGGGCCGCTAGGGGCGGCGACGAGGCCGCGTAGGGGCGGCGACGGGGCCGCTAGGGGCGGCGACGGGGCCGCGTAGGGGCGGCAACGGGGCCGCGTAGGGAGGGAGGCGGCAACGGGGCCGCTAGGGGCGGTGACAGGGCCGCTAGGGGCCTGGAAGGGCGGCGACGGGGCCGCTAGGGGCGGCGACGGGGCCGCTAAGGGTGGCGCCGGGGCCGCTAAGGGTGGCGCGAGGGGCCGTGAGAGGGGCCTCTAAGAGAGCTCGACAGAAGGGCGGCCCACAAGGCGCGCCTCGGGCAGGAGCGACTGTCGCTCCGGTCAGAAAAAAGGTTTCAGTGGTGGGCCCAAGGAAGCGTTCCCACTAGGGAACCTGCTCTGATACCATGTGAAGAAATGAGGAATGAATGAACTAACAAGCAGGTGGGTACAAGTAGGAAAACCTAGAAGTGTTGTACCCCATATTGTCTACCCCACTATAGCCTACACAGACTATAGCATAAGAGTTTGACAATATGGACCCTCTGTGCAGTACGATAAGAGCGACATTACCACGATGCTTGGATTCGCCCATCTCGCCAAAGTTGGGATGCAACTATCAGGTAATGGGCCACCAGAATATTCAAGGAAAATCAACTCTGATCGGGCGGCTCGAGAAAAACGATCACATGCAATTTGATCCAATCCGACCCGATCAGATCTAAGCCGATCAAAGTCGATTGGGCCCACGTCCTAGACTTGAACCTGCGCTGTGCTACACCTAGTTCTCGATAATTGCACACCCCCTACCCATTAGACTTGATGCGATGGACACCCAGAGATTGCTGGACTAGACAGCTGGCAGGTGCCTTCAGAAAGAAACTCGCACTTAAAATTCGGGGTTGGGGTTTAGTTAGGTTTGGGTTCTCTTTAATATTCTTGGTGCACCCCGACAGTTCGCGAAAGTACGTGGGACCCTCCTCCGCGGTTTTCCTAGACGTTGGTAACTACCCTACGAAACCGATAGGGGTAGGGTAAGTACCCCAATGTGGATTAAGGGGTGTGAAATAATCTAGAACAGGATGTACAAGAAACAAAGCAAGCGGTCATGCTGTACTGTACAAGAGAACAGCTGGGCTGGGCTGGATGCAACCTCACTTGAAGCTGGTCATCGGTGGCGGCTTGCCGATACCCTTTTGGTCTCTGTTCAGGCGTGCCCCACCTGATTTCAAGATTAACAGAGTAATTCGAGGAGAGTCAGACAGGGTTTCTTTTAACGAACCCCGTCCACTTTCTAGTTCATAACAGCAGTTCTCCATAAGCACCGGTGCTTCGGTTCTTGGAGTGCGCCGCTCAAGATTCTGTACCAGGTCCCTCGGACAGAGAATTTCAAAAAGATAGGTAAGCTGGGTGGCTCAGTTTGAGTTGGAAACAAGATTGGGCTGTGATTCGAATTTGCCTATCGACCACGGCACCAGATCAACTGTAAACCACGGATATTCTGGTGCCCCTTGTCTCCTACTGTAGTCTGTCTGTGGCACTGACTCTTATTCCGAAGTGGAACTCGGATCGGAAACGTGGAGCTTGGCAGTTGGTTTACCTTGAACCTAGTTTCACTTTTTGGGAAGGATTCTCGGAATGTTTGTTGTGGGAGGAAGAGGGTGCGGGAGAGGAGGGGAGAGGGGAACTTATTTGAAACAAATCGAGGCGACCCACCGCTGAACAAAATCTCTAGGGCGTGTGGGATGGAAAGAACAGGCTGGGGGTGGGCGTATGGGTGAGCTTGTCTCACCAACCCTCTCCTACCCCGCTCCACCTTACCTTAACCCACTATACCACCACACCATCCCAACCTGAATAGCAAACAATTTCTTACCTTACCTCAACAAGTCCATTACGCGCCGAAGACAGAAGCAGCACACTACACCAACGCCACCAGCCGGCGATGGCATGTCCGTTGTTGCGCGGCTGCTGTTCTGCGAGGGTAGGTTGGGTTGGGTTTTCCAGGGCATAATAGCGGAATGCATCTCTATTTGGCTGAAACACGCAGAACCGGATCGCACCGATTCTTGCCATGAAGGATCCATAACTCTTAGGAGCGTTTATGCTCGTTACAGGAGCGACTGCTCTACAGGCCGCATTGCCGACCTCTATCCTCGTTACGATTCGTTGCCGCCGCGGCTATTCTCGGTACTATGGAATCGATTACTGCGACGCGGTTCAGCCTGCATGATGTCAGAGCGACAGTGCTTCTAATACTGCTATCTTCCATGCAATTCGCGCTGCGAGATCAGTTGACGGAAGGTACGGACGGATCCGAGAAATTTATGCAACTTACCACGCCTTAATCCTGAGCTTGGACTTGAAAAAAACGAGGTATTCTGATTCTCACTCTTAGCATCTCCCTCCACCTCCCCTCTCCCTTTCCTTTCCCCGCTTTTTCTCCCCCTCTTCGGGTGTCTTCCCCTTCCCACGGCATCACTCTCTCTCCTCCCCTCTCTTCCATCTTCCGTCTATACCTTCCTCCTCCTCTCCTCCTTCGACACGACATACCAGTTCAATTTGGCTCAGCGAGAACTTCGTATGGCTCAACAAACCAACCAACCAACCAACCAACCAACCAACCAACCAACCAACCAACCAACCAACCAACCAACCAACCAACCAACCAACCAACCAACCAACCAACCAACCAACCAACCAACCAACCAACCAACCAACCAACCCGCGCTCACCTGCCTCCATTCCTACCAGCCGCGGCCGTGTCTCTCCACGTGTACATAGTCCGCCTTCGCTCCGCTCCGCGCCTGCCACCGTCGCGTCGTTGTCCCGGTCCCCCCAACGCATTTCCCCTCCCCTCTCCTCCCCTACCCTCCCCTTCCCTCCCCTCCGTCACCTGCCTCTCTCCCATCCCAACCCCTCCTACCAGCCGCGGTCGTCCCAAGCCGGGTGTACATAGTTCGCCTGCGCTCCGCGCCTGCCACCGTCGCCTACGCGGGCGGTATTCCCGGCTACCCTGCCACTGCCCCTACCGCTTCTTCTTCTGCAGTAGATGGAGGGGCGGGACGAGCAGCAGCAGCAGGAGCAGCAGCGGCAGCAGGAACAGCAGCGGCAGCAGGAGCAGGAAACAAGCCGTTAACCTCCACGAAATCAGCGGAAATGGATTGGCCACGTTGGAAGCAGCGCCCCGGTCCCCGTCCCCCTCGTCCCCCGCGTTTTCCCCCTCTTCCGCGCGCGCGCCTCAACACCCGTGCCTCACACGTGCGCGCATTCGCCGCCATGCTCTCGCGGCAGCAGCGCCAGGTAGCCCAGGACATCCGCCTCCCCGCTCCCAACCTCCTCCACAGCTACACCTACACCAGCAACGCCTTCTCCGCCCTCCTCTCCCCTGAACAGCTCCAAACACTCAAAAGACACCCCATGGTCGCGGATATTCGCCCCAGTGTGGTGATCAAGCAGCTGACGACTGACTCGCCGCGGTTTCTGAAGCTGCCTGGGTCGCTGTGGAAGGCTGGTGGGGGACGGAAGAGGGCGGGCGCGGGCGTGGTGATTGGGGTGGTGGACACGGGGATCTGGCCCGAGCACCCCTCGTTCCGGAAGAATGTGAGTTGAGTTGTTGCTGGTGGCGAGGCGAGGTGCCTGTGTTCTTTTCATGTTGCTACGACATCTGCTGGTGCTCTATTGTTGTTGTTGTTATTGTTGTTGTTTTTTTTTTTTTGAAGTCATTATGGTTCCTGTGTCCCAGTCTGTGTTCTTCTCACTCTCTTTCGCGCTCTTTCTCTCTCCTTCTCTCACTCTCTCTCCCCTTCTCCTGACCTCGTGCGCTCTGCTCTCGTAGCTGTGTCTCAGGAGCTGTTGCTATGGTCTGCGCTACTCATCCATCTCCACCCTCCCTCTCTTCGCCCTTCCTTCCCCCGTATCTTCCTCCCTCCCAACCTTCTCTCACCCATCTCCCACCCCACCCTCCCACTCCCTCAACAGCGCTTCACCTCTCCCGCAGACCGCCCCCCCCCTCTCCCCCAACTGATCCGGTAGGTGTGCACGCACGTCCGACTTCAAGGGGTGCTCTTCCCAGCTCATCACCCATCCACACACCCTCCCTCCCTGTCTCCCTCCCTCCCTCCCAACCATCCAACCCTGCAGCGCTCCTCCTCACCGGCAGACCGCCCCCCCCACTGGTCGGGCACGTGTGCGCGCACGTCCGACTTCAAGGGGTGCTCGTCGAAGCTCATCGGAGCGCGCTTCTTCCTGGCGGGCTTTGCGGCCTCGGGATTCTCCATCAGCCCCTCGGGGGACTACCTCTCCCCCCGCGACACCAACGGCCACGGCACCTGGTGTGCCGGGTGAGTCATGGGCGCGTGGGCGGGGTGTGTGGATGGGCGGGTGGGTAAATGGATGGGTGGTTGGGCAAATGGTAGGGTGAGTGTCTGGGTGACCGTGTGCTGATGATTGTATGAGTCGGTGTTGACGAGAGGAGTTTCTCTTAGTGCTGCAAGCACGAGACGGCCTTCAAAGGCCACATGGCATGGCATGCCCATTTCTCTCACGAACATCTCTCCTAGGCATTCCGATGTGACTCACAACACAATACCCAAAAGTCACCACCACGCATTTCCTTTACACAACACCTCTCTAGACTCGAGCAGCACTAGGCGTTCCTTCAATTCGTATGGAGAATCCTAGGAAGAAATGGAAGCATGCACTTACAAGCAGCTCCCTTGCACCCGCCGTTGTTCCCTCACTCCCACATCCCGCACCACCCTCATCCTCTCCTTCCTCTCCCAATCCTTCTCCCCTGCCCTCTCCCCCTTCCCCTCCACTCCCTCTCCCCATTCCCCTCCCCCATCCATCTCCCCCTAGCGATCGTTATCATTTAATATAATAAACGGTACAGAAACAATTGGTAGGTTGGGCAAAGCCAATGCTATGCAGGGCAAGGAAACAAGGGGGGTGCGCAAGGCAGGTAATGCAGCACAGGTAATGCCCCTCTCTCTCCCCCATCCCTCTCTCTCCCCCGTCCCTCTCTCTCCCCCATCCCTCTCTCTCCCCCGTCCCTCTCTCTCCCCCATCCCTCTCTCTCCCCCATCCCTCTCTCTCCCCCGTCCCTCTCTCTCCCCCGTCCCTCTCTCTCCCCCGTCCCTCTCTCTCCCCCGTCCCTCTCTCTCCCCCGTCCCTCTCTCTCCCCCGTCCCTCTCTCTCCCCCGTCCCTCTCTCTCCCCCGTCCCTCTCTCTCCCCCGTCCCTCTCTCTCCCCCGTCCCTCTCTCTCCCCCCGTCCCTCTCTCTCCCCCGTCCCTCTCTCTCCCCCGTCCCTCTCTCCCCCGTCCCTCTCTCTCCCCCATCCGTCTCTCTCCCCCGTCCCTCTCTCTCCCCCATCCGTCTCTCTCCCCCGTCCCTCTCTCTCCCCCGTCCCTCTCTCTCCCCCATCCCTCTCTCTCCCCCCGTCCCTCTCTCTCCCCCATCCCTCTCTCTCCCCCCGTCCCTCTCTCTCCCCCATCCCTCTCTCTCCCCCGTCCCTCTCTCTCCCCCATCCCTCTCTCTCCCCCGTCCCTCTCTCTCCCCCGTCCCTCGCCCCCCGCCACCCAACAGTGCAGCAGCAGGCAGGCACGGGGTAATAGTCCGCCCACCCCTGCGCACCTCCCCAGGAGCAGCCAGTGGCATGGCGCCAGGGGCGCACCTCGCCGTGTACAAAGTCTTCTGGCAGGAGGCGCAGTCAGGCGCCCTCTTTGCCACCTCTGCCGACGTCGAGGCGGCCGTTGATGCGGCCGTGGCGGACGGTGTGGATGTGCTCAGCCTGTCGCTGGGCGCTCTGGATCCCAGTGCGACCTACTTTACGGACCTCACGTTTCTCTATGCCCACGCGGTCAGTCTCTCTCTCTCTCTCTCTCTGACTCTCCAAATCTCTGACTCTCCAAATCTCTCTCTCTGTCGCTGCTGCTCTGGTGACTGGTGCGAAAAATATCCCAGCCTGTCGCTGGGCGCTCTGGATCCCAGTGCGACCTATTTCACCCACCTCATGTTTATCTATGCCCACGTGGTGAGTCTTTCTGAATCCTTGCTGCTCTGCTGCTCATGATTTACTGTTTGTGCCACTCTTTTTCTTATGCACCTAAGAAACGGCCTCAGCCTGTCGCTGGGCGCTCTGGATCCCAGTGCGACCTATTCACTGACCTCGCGTTTCTCTACGTCCACTCAGTGTGTCTCTCTATCGCCGGGCTGCGCTGGTGCTCGTGGCGCTTATCTTTCTATCACTATCACTGCACATGGCCCCTCTTTCGCACCTCTTAACCCTGTGACGGGCCTCTCTCCCTTCCCGCACACCTCGCTCTCGCCTTCTGCTCACATGCAGGCGGGCACGGTGGTGGCATTTGCAGCGGGCAACGAGGGCTTCCCCGGAAGCGGCTACGAGATGTACCGAACGATCAACAACTTCTCGCCCTTCTACATCACTGTTGGCGCCAGGTCAGCTGCCAATAGTCCTTCCCTTCCTCTCGTCCTCTCTCATCCTCTCTTTCTCTCTCCGCCTTGCTTGTCTCAACCTCATGCTTTCCCAAACAACACCACGGCGTCTTAACCCAAAACACACCATCAAGCCAGACACTCACGATGCGTGCTATGCCCTGTCTATCGCACTATACATTGCTCATTTCACGTCTGTGCCTAGCAGTTGTCAGTTCATGCCTCCCAATTGTTTCGTTCAAGCCTCTGAATATATATTCTCTATCCTTCATACTTTCTTGCAGCAAGTCAATTGCTCTTTTTCTGCTTGCAGTCTCTGGTGCGTTTTTGTTTGGCATTCCTCGTCTATTGCTCATCACGCTTCCACTCCTCCAATCCCATGTTTCAATTCACCAGCACCATTAAAAGGAGAAAAAATAAAGAGATCGCCCGGTTCCGATCCGCGGGGCTCAAGTTGGAGTCCCAGGACAAATCACAGCAGACGGGGCTGGACTTTCTCGGTGTCTGCGATGATTCTGATGATGATGGTGATGTTGCCTGCAATGGCAACCAAGCAGCTGATATCGTTCTCAGTAGCACTGCTGCCATCATTTCCACTTCTGCAATTGCAGCAGCTGCAACAACTCCTGCGGTTGTCGGCGGTGGTGGTGGTGGTGGTGCTGCTGCTGCTTCTGGTGCTGCTCCAGGTTCAGATGTCCCTGCAGCTAACAGCAGCACCGCAAGCGCGGAGCTGCTGGAAAAGACTGCGAGAATACCGGAAGCACAGCCAAGGTCTACTCAGCCAGCCGCAAGGGCTGCTGCGTTTCACCCTGACATAGCCAAGACTCTAGCAGCACAGTGTGTCCCAGGGTGGGTGGATTGTGCTGCCGTGAAAGGCAAAGTGGTCGTGTGCAGCAGCGGTAGCAGCAGAAGCAGCAGCACCGCCAGCGGTAGCAGCAGCGGAACCATTTCTGAGGCCCAACAGGTGGCAGCGCTGGCTGCCTGCCAGGCTAAGGCTGTGGTGCTGCTACCCAGCAGCACCGCACCTGCTGCTTCTACTGCAGGTGCTTTCGGCAGGCTTGGTGAGGGTGTTACCTCTGATGCCAACGCTGCTGCTACTGCTGCTGGCGGAGATGGTATTGGTGGTGGCCGCGGTGGTGGTGGTGGTGGTGATGGCGATAGTGCCACTGCTGCTGCCGCTTTGGTTGATTCCGGCACTAGCAGAAGCATTTCCATTAGTCCCAGCAGGCGAAGCAGGCCTGTGTTTGTTGACTCGTACTCGTTGCCGCTTCTGCGGCTGGACACCCGCTCTGCAGCGCTGCTCCACGCGTTCCTACGGGGAACCAGGACCAGGTCAGTAACTGGCCCAAGGTATTTCTGAGGCGCTTTCTCTTACATGTGTGTCGCTCACTCTTCCTCCTTCCCGTGCCTTCCCTTCCCTTTCCTGGCAATGCCGTGGCAACGCCCTTTGTGCTTTCTTTTGCACCCCTTGCTCTCCTGTTCTCTCCCCAATACTTGTTTGTTCTTGTTAAAGCCCCAACGCAGCCAATCAGCTCATCCATCCCCTCACCTTCCTCTCCACTCACCACCACCCTCAGTCTCCTCACCCTGCTCACTAACCTCCCTCTTGCCCCCTTCTTCCTCTTTCATACCTTCCCTTATCCCTCTCTTACCCCCTTCCGTACGCTCTCCCTTACCCCAATCCCAGAGCTACTGCCGCGCTCATTGCTTCTATTCACTCCATTACCAAAATGGATCCTGCTGTCCCTTACTTCTCCTCCACGGGACCTCTAGCTCCTGCCGACGACGCACCCTCGCCGCCCTACCCCACCAACGACATCTTAAAGCCCGACATTCTCGCTCCCGGCGTCAAGCTCTGGTCCGCCGCTCCTGGAAAAAGAGGGTTGATTTTCCGCCGCGCTGCCTTTGCGAAGATGTCCGGGACGTCCATGGCGACGCCACACATCGCGGGGATCGCCGCGCTGCTGATCCAGCGGCGTCCCGCGTGGACCCCCGCGCAGATCATGTCCGCGATTATGACGACCGCGAGCACGCGGAACAATAAAGGCGGGAAAATAAGGGGGTCGACGGGGGGACACGCGACCCCGTGGGAGATAGGCTCGGGTCAGGTGAACCCGCCGAGGCTTCTGGATGCGGGCCTGACGTACGACATTTCGCTCGGAGATTTCAAGGATTTTCTCGCCGGGCAGAATCAAACAGCGGCGAAGCTGGAATGGCCGTCCGATACGCTCACGGCGACACCAGCTTATAATCTCAACAGGCCGTCGATTTCCGTGACTCGGTTGTCGGGATCCGTTACTGTTACACGTTATGTCACAAGTGTATATTCGGAAACAACGGTCTACACCGCCGTTGTGGAAACGCCAGCAGGTGTTTCGATAAATGTTAACCCGGGGAGCTTCGCCATTGCACCAGGGGAGACGGTTTCTTATGAGGTGTATATTCAGGTCTTGCAAAAGAGAAGAGGGTTCTCGTATGGGAGTTTGACATGGCGGGACAATAAAGGGCATAGTGTAAGATCGCCAATAGTTGTTCAACCCCTAGATGTCTAAAAGTTGTAAAAAGTGTTGCACTAATTATAACCATACATCTAGTTGGTGGTGAAACCTTTAGCTGGACTTGGATTGATAATCAACTTGTACCACATGGATGACTGTTTTTTCTATTTATGTCGAATTCACCAAAATCTGGCACAATGCTGGTCTCCATACCGGACTTTCCGAAGCAGGCAGTGGGACCATGTGCAGCTTGGCTCGGCGCGCTGTGTTGACTTCCAGAACGCTGCTCCCTGCCTATGTCTCGCCGATAGTTGCACGCCTCGCGTCGTCGTCAGAGCCGTTGGCTTTTATAGCTGCTGCTGCAAATTCCCGTTTCGCCACTCGATGTGCGACCAGCAACGTCGCTGAACGACACTTATACGACCACGGTCACCAGTCCCTGTCGCTAGCTCGCAATCCCGTCGGTCGTTGCTACATGACACGTGTTTCTCTGTCATTGGCGCATCATGCTTCCTTCTCGCCAGCTCCTAGCAGCCCCAGTAGATGGATCGTAAGCAGAGGCGGGTCTGGGTTTGCCACCGCGCGATTCGGGGATCGAGATCGGAATCAGAATCAGAATCATAATCATAATCAGAATCAGAATCAGAATCGGGGTCGTCCAATACTTCCAAGAGCACGGCTCTTACTCATGACATATACTCCTTTTCTATCATCTCCTCTTCAATCGGCTCCTATGGCGTTATCCCCGCTAACATCGACTCCTCTCAACTCGTCTCCCCTGCGGTCGTCTTCCCTGCCGCCGCCTCCCCTGCTATCGTCAGTCTCTGCCCTCCTCTGGTTTACTCAAAGCGTCTCCTCTGCTCGTCCTCTTTCTGTGACTCAGAAACAGACTCCCCTGCTATCGTCAGTCTCTGCCCTCCACTGGTTCAGTCGAAGCGTCTCCTCTGCTCGTTCTGTTTCTGCGTGCGCTCGGCGCGAAGGTAGAACTCCTGGCACTGTAGCAGCGGATCAGGAGCGGGAAACGGGTCGAGCTGTATCGGGTACAGCGGATGCGTGGTGGGACAACGAGGGGCAGGAGGAGCTGGCGAGGATGAGAGATGAAACTGGAGATGCATGGGACGGGGGGGTAGAGGAAGGGATTGAGGAGGAGAGGGGGGAAGAGGAGCGAGGACGAGGAGGAGAGAGGAGGAAGAAGGGCAAGAGGAGGGGGCCTGCTAATGTGGAAGAGCAAAGGGAGGGTGTTGAAGCTGGGGGCTGGAGGGAGAGTGGTAGTGAGGGGTGGAGGGAGAATGGGAATGAAGGGTGGGGCGGGCGAGGGAGGGAGGGAGGGAGCGAGAGGGGGAGTGAGAGAGGGAGTGAGGGAGCGAGTTCCATGTCTGCGGCAGAGCTCCTTGCTCTCTCTGACGCGCACCTGTTGCAGCAGTGTGAGGTGGACACGTACAGGGCGTCAGGCCCTGGGGGGCAGCACCGCAACAAGACAGAGTCTGCCGTCCGCATCCGGCATAAGCCGACAGGCTGTGTGGCTCAGGTGATATGCACTGACAATCAGTGCTCACCACTCCCCTTTCACCACTTCCCTTTCACCACTTCCCTTTCACCACTTCCCTTTCACCACTTCCCTTTCACCACTTCCCTTTCACCACTTCCCTTTCACCACTTCCCTTTCACCACTTCCCTTTCACCACTTCCCTTTCACCACTTCCCTTTCACCGCTCCCTGCTCGCTGCTCACTGCTTACTGCCCCTAGCCTCTCCGACCATCCTGCACCTGGTGATTTGTAGCCTCAATGAAGCTTTCTCTTTCACTTTTGAAGAAGACCTCCACCGCTGCTCTCTTCTGAGACGTCTCAAAAGTCTTTTGAGACGTCTCAAAAGTCATCCTGCACCTGGTGGTGCCAATGAAGCTTTCTCTTTCACAATTGCAGAAGACCTCCACCGCTCCGCTGCTGTCCCTTCCCCACCCATACCCATCACATCACACCTCCCCTCACTCCTCATTTCAATGCCTTTTTGTCTCCCCCCCCCTCCCCGCTCCCTCCCTTGATTTCTCCATCCAACCTTCCTCTCTCGCTCATTCCCCCCCTCCACCCTTTCCCTCTCTCTCTCTCACTGCACCGGCCCTCCAGTCCTGTGAGCAGCGATCACAGCATATGAACAAGGCCACGGCCCTCGTTCGCCTTCGCCAGGCCATTGCCCTCACAGGCGCGTTCATGCCTTCATGTGCTCGCTGCCTTGCTTCCTCACTACTAGCCATGTTGTTGTTCAGTGAATTTGTGTGTGTGTGTGTGTGTTTCTTTTCTTTCTTTCTTTCTTTCTTTCTTTCTTTCTTTCTTTCTTTCTTTCTTTCTTTCTTTCTTTTTCTTTTCCGAACAGCACATTTTATTCTCTCGCATATGTTTGCATTTGTTAACCCGTTTTGGGTTTTAGTGCCCAAGGAGTAGCGATCCATCGCTAAAAACTTTCGCCCGAAGGTGCGCTTTCAGCGACTTAGCTTGCGGGCCTGCTCTTGAGAGCTCACTCTATGCATCCATGCCTCCTCTCCTCGATACCTCCATGCATCCATACTTTTGTGTATATGCATACATGCAGTGCGCACGCCCATCCATCTGCCATCCTACGAGCCCTCGCCGGGCCTCCTCCGCATCTTGCCTCGCTCTGCCTCCCAGCCTTCGAAGCTGAAGCAACACCAAAAACAGCAGCAGCAGCAGCAGCAGCAGCAGCAGCCCTCCAATGGCGACGCTGCCACTGCTGCCAGCCCAACCCTGTCGGAAGGAGTGCCTGTTGGCGGGGACAGCACTGCTGCCAGTAGCAGTGGTGGTGATGCTGGCACTGGCAGTGGTGCTGGTGGGAGTGGGAGTGCGAGTGGGAGTGGGAGTGGGAGTGGGAGTGCGATTGGGAGTGGGAGTGCGAGCAAGGCAGCAGCAGTGAGGAAGGTGAAGGATCGCATTGGGCCGAACCATGCTGACTTCCACAAGGTGGGTGCTGCGCTGCATGGGATGCCACTTATGAGGATGCATGCATAAAGCGCCTGAGTAGTGCACTGCACTGCACTGCACTGCACTGCACTGCACTGAACTGCACTGCACTGCATTGCTCTGCACCGCACAATGCCAAGGATCCGATCCCATCCCATCCATGCATGGTCACATCACAGCTGTTACACACCTCAACCCTCACAGCAGCAACAACCCCCATGGCCATCAATATCCTCCCCTTCCGCAACCTCCTCTCTCTATGCTACTATGATTCTTTGCTCTCTGCCTGCCTGCCTCCCCGCACACCCACCCACCTGACCGCCCACCCGTCTGACCACCTGCCTGCGTGCACACTGGGCGCCAGTGAGCTTCTGGACGTGCTGTCAGCTCATGCTGGGAATGACGTCTCAAAACCTGCCTGCCTGCCTGCCTGCCCGCCTGCCTGCCTGCCTGCCTGTCTGCCTGCGTGTGTGCATGCAGGGCGCCAGTGAGCTTCTGGACGTGCTATCAGCCCATGCTGGGAATGTCTCTGCTACGGCCACCACCCTCGGGTCCGCACCGCACCCCTTCCTTCCCCATGCCCCAAATCCACCATGTCATTGCCCTGCCCCTCCCATACTGCCTCGGCATTGTCTTGGCGTTGTCTTGGCGTTGTCTCGGCGTTGTCTCGTCGTTGTCTCGTCGTTGTCTCGGCGTTGTCTCGTCCTTGTCTCGTCGTTGTCTCGGCGTTGTCTCGGCGTTGTCTCGGCACTGTTTCGTCATTGCAGTAGCTTCCTGCGTTTCCCTGTCTCATCTCTCGTCCCAGTCATCGTCCTGTCCTGTGAGACACACACGCTTATCCACCACCGCACCCAACCCAACCCAACCCACCACTACACTACAGCATCTCCACAGACAAGACAACCACCCTCGTCAAGCACCCTGCTGCTGCGTACATCCCTGAACTTCCTCGAATTACCTCTCTCACTCCACTCCACTCCACACCACTCCACTCCTCTCCACTCCACTCCACTCCATGCCGACATTTCTCACACTTTCTCTGACTGCAAAACACACTCCTCATTTCTCCCTCACATCACATCACACCCCCCCAAACCTCCCAATACCTCCGCATCTCCACCGCCGCCCTCCTAAACTGTTTCAATCAATCCTCTCTTGAGCCATGCCAAACTTCTCTCTCTTTACACAGTCAAACGCCCTCCAGCCGCTTCACCCTGTTCCCTTCCCTCTCGCCCCCCCCTCCTTCCCAATCGTTTTCCCCTTCCTCCAACACACAATGCAGTATTTCCACCGGCGCCCTGTCAAAGATGCTGCTATCTGACCGGGGCCTCTTGCCATGAGCCAACGAGCTGAGAGCCAAACTTCTCACTTCACATCACAGTCAAACTCCCTGCTGACCCTTCCCCCCTTTTCCCTCACTCCCCCCTCCCTTCAACACACAATGCAGTATCTCGACAGGCGCCCTGTCGAAGCTGCTGCTATCTGACCGGGGCCTCTTGCAACGAGCCAATGAGCTGAGAGCTGCCAAGGTGCGGAAATCCCGAGATTGCATCACAGGATATGCGGCACTGCAGTGCGGTGTGCATTGCATGCAGTGACTTTTGATTCGACTCAAAGGTCACTACAATGCAGCTCGTTGCATTTGGGTGCAGTGCGAGTGATGGATTTTTAATTTCTCTATCTACCCTATTTCTTCCCCCCCCCCACCCTACCCATTAACCTCTTTGCCTCTCTCTGCATGCTGTTGTGTGTGTGCTGCTTGCTGCTTGCTGCTGCTTGCCGTTTGCTGCTGCATGTTGCTTGCTGCTGTCAACGTCCTTTCACAGGGCTTGAAGCCTCTCCGGTGAAATTGTCACATGAGTTAAGGCTCGAGAGGGTTACTGCCGCACCGTTGCTGTATGTCTATCTAGTCCCCATTCCCTTGTATGTGAGATGCACACTTTTGGGACGAGATTATAGGGACATGAATGCATTTCCATGGCTAAGGATGCCCCAGGCCAGGAGGACTAGGGAAGACCAGTGCCGTTCTGTGTTTAGTGTTTAGCGTTACTTACTCGAACTTGTTTTATCCACCACACTAGTAGACACGTGTGGTTGAGGTGTTGGATGGAAGGGTGAAGAAAAGACATCCAAAGAAGTTGGTTTCGTGGCAGGGACCCAACCCAAGTATCGAGTACAGCCAAGCCAAGCAGACGAAGAAGAGGGCTACAAGGCAGTCTACCTACAAACGAATCCCTATGTGACGCGCAGAAAATCAATAGGTACTAGTATAGGCAGACAGAACAGAACATAGCCCGGCAGGCAGCACTGGAAAAGAAGAGAATAACACGTCTCCCCCCATCCCTGCTAGGTTTGATCAACACACATCACTTCACCAGTCCATTGACTCTGACACGTTACAACTCCTGGCGCATCACCTGACAACCTGAAAAGCCTTCAGCCTGACAGCCTGACTCCACGTACCACACGGTACACCTTACGGCCACGAGTCCCAACTCTCAACACCCCCCGAGCTCCAGATTCTAGACTCCGAACACTTCCCATACTCTTTCTAGACCGTCCTGCCTGACTATGCCTGCCTGCTCACCACATCCCAACTCTGCTTTACTCTCCCCAGCTCTCCTCAACTCTCCCACCTCCACCTCACACTTGCACCCTCTACACTCCCCTTCACCTAAACACAACCTTCACTGCTCTGGGGCTGGAACAAACGCAACAGCACAACCGGAACAGCTTCAGCAATCCCACCCCACCCCCCTTCCCCTGTCCTTCCTTCCCCAATTGCCTCCACTGGAACAGCGCACACAGATTGTTGCAATGGGTGGCCCTCTTACACAACCAGCCTGTCCCCCCTACCTGCTTCCTGCACCTTCCTCTTCTCCTTCTGCCTGCCTCCTCTTCCTCCCCCTCCTCTCTCCCTCCTCCGTCCTCCCGCCTCCGCCCCCCCTCCTCCCTTCCTACTCCTTCCCTTGTCCCTGCTAGCTCCATACCTCCAGTCAACGGTTGAGAAACTCCGGCGAATTAGGCTCTAAGCGGAGGACGCTTTAAGCGCGGCCTTGAGCTTCTCAGCCTGGATATACGCCGTGGAATACGGCAGGAACTCCGACTTATGCTGCTCCGCCAGCCAGTGCGCCGACTCCGCCAGCTTCGGAATCTCCGCCACTTCATCCGCCGTCAGCTCGCGCACGAATTTCGCCGGGCTGCCCGCCCAGAGCTGCCCGCTGGGAATCAGCTGCCCGGGGCCCACCACCGTGCAATCCGCGAGAACGGCGTTCTTTTCCACGATAGCTCCTTCGAGGACAAGGCACCGTTGCCCGATAACCACCTCGTCTTCGATCTCGCACGATCGCAGCACGGAGTTCTGCCCAACGGTCACATACCTCCCTACCGTGGTTTCCGCGGAGAGACCAGTCGGGGAGGCCGACGCGGCGTGCACGACGACGCGATCCTGAATGTTGCTGTACGCGCCGATGCGGATGTAGTTCAGATCGGCGCGCAGCACGCTGCCGTACCAGACGGACGCGCGGTCGTCGATCGTGACGCCGCCCGCCAGGATCGCGTTCGGCGCGACCCACGCGTCGACTGCCACGTCAGGCACCATGTGGTTGATCGGCACGAGCTGCCGCTGCCGGTTGTAAATCTCGCGGTAGAGGTAGTTAGCGGCAGGCGCGGAGGTCGCAGCAGCAGCAGCAGCAGCAGCGGCAGAGGCAGGAGGAGTGGCAGGAGCGGCGTTGGCGGGAGCGGACGTGGATTGACGCTGCGACGCGACGCGGAACGGGGCGATCGAGGCGGCGCAGGAGGTGTCGAGGAGGGTGGCCAGCGCGGGGCTGCGCGCCGCGGCAAGATCGAGGAGATGCGACGCGCGGCGGCGGGACGCGGGCGCGAGGATGTGAGACCAACGCGCCATGGTGGCTCGAGTGGGGAGTTTAACGACGGGTCTAGAATGCGACGCGCGATCTGCCAACGGCGAGGATCGGGAGAGCGGAGGGGCGAGATGGGGTGACGCGCGTGGCAAACCTTCCCCGACGAAAATGGAAGCGGCGGGGTGATGGGAGGGAGTGGACTCCCAGGCGTGGATTGCGGCGGAAGAGACGGAGGAGCAAGGGCAGCCCCGGACTGCAGCTGGGGTGAAGGGAGTGAGTGAGCAGTGGGGGATGGGAGAGATTCCGGGTGGGAAACGTGATGAGGAGAGGAGGGGGGAAGGGGGAATGGGGGCAAGGGGAACACGAAGCGGGGGGACGGGACGGAGGGTTCGGCCGAGGAAAGGAGGCGGAGAATGTAATTGGCGGAGCGCCGTAAGGAAACGAAGAGGTTGGGGGAAGGGGCGCTCGCAGCGGCGCCACATGGCATGTGCCGCACTCGTGGTCCCCCATATGCTGGAGAATTGCATTTGTGGTAGGTTTTTGCAACCAATCAGTTTTGAATTCGCAGGTGTACTGGTACTGAAACCAGTTTGCCAATGTGACTTCTTGAATTCCAAGAACGCATAGTTTTTGTCACATAATAATATCAACATTTGCAATGTCTCTTCTACATCAGCCGAAATGGTAAGCCCCATATGTAGACTGTATAAGCTGCTTCAACATGCAGAATCGCATCTCCAGCAAACGTTGCTTATACCTAGACTACACGTCTTTCAGCAGAGCTACGAAACAATGGAAATTTAATACCAGTCATCGTCATCATCTACAAAGCCACCTTTCCTCGGCCCTTCGTCCTCATCATCCTCCACATCCTCCACATCGAGACGATCACAGTCATAGAAGCTATCCACACTCTCATTAGGTCGAATAGTGCCAGCAGCATCAGTTGCAGTCTCGACCTGACCAGCAGTGGCACCGGCGTCAGAACCAGCAGCGGCAAGAGTAGCAGCAGGTGTGCCATTCGCAGCTGATACGATTGCCTCTGCTCCATCTGAGACAGCATTCCCATCACCTGCGGCCTCAGAAGCAACAGGAATTGTTGCAGCAGCTGCCGCAGGTGCAGCAGGTGCAGCAGAAGGCACAAGCGATGCCACAGCAAAGTCTGCAAACGGATCGTTGTCCTCGCCTTTCTTAGCTGCATCCGAGCCTGCTGCTCCTGTCAGCGTCTCGAAGACCAGAAGGCCAGAATCAGGAACAGCAGATTTACTGCCGAAGGGACCTGCTGACTCAGCAGAAGGTGGTGTTGACTCAGCAAGTGATGGTGCTGACTCAGCAAGTGCAGGAGCAACAGCAACAGCAGCAGCAGCAGGAGCAGGAGCAGACACCAGGAAATTGTCAAAGGAATCAGCATCCACTGCTTCTGCTGGTGTTGCTGCTGCTGCTGCTGCTGGGATCGCTGGTGCTGCCTGGGAGGACAGATCAACGGCCTGAAAGTCATCCCAGTCGTCACCATCGTCCACAGCAGTTGATGCATCTGCAACCGCTGCAACTACTGCTGGTGCCGCTGCAGTAAATGTGTCTGCAAGCTCTCCTCCTGGTGCAACTGCAGCAGCTTCAGATGCTCCCTGAGTAAACGCTTCCACCACAACACCGTTCGTAACCACCTCCACTCCACCCACCAAATCTGCAACGGCAGCTGCTGCTGTTACTCCTCCTGCTGCTGTGGCCGCTGATGCATCTTCACCTGTGCTATCTGCCCCGCTCCCTTCCAATGCCATCGCCTCACCACTTCCACTCGCCTCAAGGCTAACTTGCACAAAATCTTCCTCTGACAATCCCGCAACGTCAGCTGCAGCCGCTGCTGCTTCTGCATCTGCTGGTTCCTGTGCTTCTGCTACCGGTTTAGTACTTTCCTCCAGATCTGCTGCTGTTTGGATAGCAGGAACAGGAGGAGCGGGAGCAGCAGGAGCAGAAGCAAAGGAGTCTTCGAAATCACCCCAGTCGCTGTCATCTACAGCTGCTTCAGCACCATCACCAGCACCTGCTGTTGCTGCCATTGCTGCCGTTGCAGCTTCTACTGGTGCTTCTGCTGCTGCTCCGATTGCTGCCTCTGTTGCAGCAGCAGCAGCAGCAGCAGCAGCAGCAGCTGCTGCTGTTACTTCTGGCTGGATAGTGGTTGAAGGTGGTGCGGAGGAGAAATCAGTAAAGTCTCCAAAATCATCATCGTCCTGTTGGGAGCGCAAATGGAGGGATGAGAAAAGTTAACGATAGGAGGGAGTGGTGTCACTTCAAGCACAAGACGTGAGAGACAACATGACTTGGCGTGACAAGGGCAACGACACGACAATAGGGACAGCATGAAATGGCATGGCATGACACGAGATGGCACGAGAAACAAGGACTTAAGGTACTCAAATGACCAGGAAATGGCATGGCATGACATGAGATAGCACGAGAAACAAGGACTTAAGGTACTTAAGGGGAGCCGAAAAATGGTAAGAAATCCATGCTGCATTTGAGTGACTCAAAAGAAGAAACGGGGCACTGGTGCAAGAGGAGCCGAAAACTGGCAACCAAAGCATGCTGCAGCAAGCAGAAATCCTACCTCATCTAGTGAGTCTGCAGCAGCACTGCTCACACCACTCTCCCGTGCCACACCCACCCCATCCTCTCCCCCTCCCGCCCCTGCTTTGTCCGCTTCAGACAAGCCATTCTCCTGTGCCAAACGGCTAGCTTCTGACACAGCCGAATCGCCATCAACAGCAGCGTCTGTTGCAGCAGCTTCAGCAGCAGCGGTATCGTCAGTGGCGGAGGGGCGTGCACTGGGGGGGGCTGTACTGGTGGAGGTGGAAGTGGTAGAGGAACGAATAGACTGAAACTCAGCCCACTCATCATCATCATCGTCATCACTAAACCCTCCCATGTTCCCAGCAGTGGCCTCCGCAGCAGCAGCGGCAGTAGCAGCAGCAGAAGAGGTGGTGGTGGTGGTGGTGGTGGTGGCTGCAGCAGTGTCTGAGCTTGCAGATGAGGCAGAGAGGCGGGAGGCGGAGAGCTGGGTGAGAGGAGGGGGCTGGAAAGGCGAGGTGGAGGGAGAAGAGGAGGAGGAGGGAGGGGGAGGTGCGAGGAAGCCTTTAGATGGGGCGCTTGAGGGGAGAGGGATGGGAGGAGGAATGACGGTGCTGGTGGTGGTGGTGGAGGGGGGAGGAAGAGATGGGGAAGAGACTGTGGGGAGAGGTGGAGGGGCGAGAGGAGCAGCAGGGGAGGAGGAGGAGGAGACACGGCGTTGCTGTGATTGCTGGACGGAGGACTTGATCACGGTCTGCAGAGGAGGGCCAGAGAGGAAGGCAGGGGAGGAAGGCAACAGATGGAAGACAGAAAATAGTGGATCATGTGGACGGCAAGGAGGATTTGGGAATGGGGTGTATTTTGAGGCGCCTCAAAATACACCTCACTACACGCGGAAGGCAACAGATAGGAGACAGAAAATAGCGGATTGTGTGGACGGCAAGGATTGGGAATGGCAAGGACGGGCGGGGCAGGGTGGGAAGGAGGGGATGGTGGATGCGGACTATGTGGGAGAGAAAGGAATAACTAGGACGAGGAGGTGGGCAGGGGAGGGTGGGAGAGCGATGAAGCAGCTGCAGCCGAAGCAACGTACCTGGAGCTGTAGCTTGGTGGCGGGGGGGAGGGCGGCGGTGGCAACTTGCAGATTGGCGGGGAAGGCGGTGGCGAGGTGGGTGATGAGCTTCACTGCCATGCCTATCACTGCTGCCTGCGTTGGGCTCTGCTGCTGCCCCTCCTGGTCCATACGAGCATGGGGGGATGGGAGTTGGGAAGGGAGGGATTTTGGGAGGGAGGGAAAGAGGCAGGAGGAAACTGAACACATGTGGCACACCTGGCAATTGACTTGCCCTTTTCCATGACATTCCCACATGGAAACTGAAAACCCTCACTGTGAACTCTCTGTGCGCTCTCCTTGAGACTCGAACCTTCGTTACACAGAAACACATGCCCGCACCACACATGCACGCATCCACATGCCCACAACGCACCCACCCACCCACACACACACGTCTCGCCGCAACACACACGCGCCCCCACACGGTATTACCCCTCCCGCCGGCTGCGCAAGAGATCCTGCCATGATCGCCGTCACTAGCAGCAGCTCCAGCACCGCCTGCTGCCTCTCCCCACCCGCTGCCGCCGCTGCTGCACCCGCTGCCCCTGGCAGTTTCTCCTTGGCGTCGGGAGGCGGGATGGTGGAGAGCAGCAGCAGGAAGAGCTTCAGCGCCTCCATCACCTCGTTGGCTGCCTGCGGGGTTTGTAGGTCCTGGTGGAAGGGCGCGGGAGGGAGGGACGGAGAGAGAGGGATGGATTGGGGGAAACCGGGAGAGATTGGGTTAAACCAGGAGGGATGAACTGGATTGGAGAGGGGTTGGAAACAGCACGCAAAGCTTGAGGGTGAGACAATCATACGAATGGAAAGGTGCTGCAGCGGATGATACAGAGAAGGGAGAAGGGGGGAAGAAGTGCGGGGAGAAGGGAGGGGGAAGGAACGAGAGAGAGAGACAAGAAATGGGGGGGAAGGAGGTGGGTGGGGGGAGGGGGGGGGTGAAGGAGGAGAGGGTGGAGAGAAAATCGTGTTCAGCAAAGGCGAGAAAGACAAGCGGAAGACGAGAAAGGTCAATAGACCGTACGGGCACGACATGACAAAGAGCACAGGTGGAGTCTATCTTCCAGGGGCATTTGAAACAGAGTGACGTGCCCACCTTGGACAAGGTCTGGATGACCGAGAGCACGGCAGGAGTGAGGGCGAGCATGAGCTGCATGGGCCACCACACCACAGTCGCCCAGTAGGGGATAGACCTTGGGTGTATCATGTATGGGACCAAGGAACCAGAGACCATTGGAAGCACCACGCACCTTGGACGAGGTCTGGATGACTGAGAGCACAGCAGGAGTGAGGGCGAGCATGAGCTGCATGGGCCACCACACCACAGTTGCCTGTCTCCTCATGCTGCTGTTGCTGCTGCTGTCGGCAGCATCGCTCTCTCCCTCTGCTCCTCCCTCCCCTGCTGCGCCTGCTGTTGCCAGAGCCTTGGGCAATCCCGCCTGTAGCAGCACCTTGAGGGCTCCTATCACTGCCATGCGCACCTGGATAGGAGGGGAAGGGACGGGGAGGGGAAGGGGAAGGGGAAGGAGAAGGGGAAGAAAGGGAGGGGGGGGGGGGGGGGTTGGGTGGGAGGAGAGGAGGAGAGGGGAGAGGAAGGGGCCAAAACGAGAGGAACGAGGAGAAAGGCAATGAGACGAGGAGAAGGGCATGGACGAGATGCAGAAAGGCAATGAGATGAGGAGAAGGGCATGGACGAGATGCAGAAAGGCAATGAGATGAGGAGAAGGGCATGGACGAGATGCAGAAAGGCAATGAGATGAGAAGGGCATGGACGAGATGCAGAAAGGCAATGAGATGAGGAGAAGGGCATGGACGAGATGCAGGTTCTTTCATCTCTCTATGTATCAGCAGAGACAAGATCGAGAGGCGGATGGGATACACACCGGGAACAGATGACAAAACGTTCAGACGAACATCCCCATTGGCTATTCCTTCTACCCTCTCCCCTCTCCCCTCTCACCACCCAAGCCTCGTCCCTACCCCACCACTCCGCCTCACCTGTCGTGACTTGGACGCAAAAGCTGTTTCAAACGCGTGCATGCATCGAGCCATGCCGCTCTCTTCCAGCTGGATCGCAAAGTAATCCCCTCCCGCGCCCGACACCAGCGGCGGCAGCGCTGCCAGAAGCGACAGCGCGTGCAGCACACGCGTGGCGCTTGGAGCGCCTTCCAGCTCTGAGAAGCCGCCACGTGGCGCTGACGGGGACGATGGCGGCGACATGGTTGAGAAGGCCACATCAGCATTGGGGATGGTGTCGAGTGGAGAGGAAGACATGTCGAGAAAGCTGTTGGACTGATCTGCTTTTTCTTCTGCTGCTGCTGGCGCTGCTGCTGCTTCTTTTCCACCATTGCCGTCACCACCAGCTGCTGCAGTCACCATACCCTCACCCCCTTCCTCGACGTTCCCACCATCCCCCTTTCCTTCATTCGCCTCCTCACCTTCCTCACTCCTCAACGTCTCATCTCTCTCCACCTGCACCTTCTGATCTTCTCCTCCTTCCTGGTCCTTAATCTCATCACCTCCCTCCTCTCCATCCCCCCCATCCCCATCACCACCGCAGCCTTCCTCATTCTTGCTGTCCCCAGCAGTACCAGCATTCCCAGTCGCCTCCATGTCACCACTGCTTGCTTCACCCACTGCATCGGCTCCTGACGAATCCTGGCTGCACAGGTGGCGGTCCACGATTTGCGCAGCTCCCTCCAGCAGTGCTGCCACCACTGTGGCCCGCTGCCCCGACCACAGAGTCACCTCTCCCAGGGATGCCGCTGGAAGGGAAAGAGGAAAAAGGAGCGAGAGAATATCAAATTAGGCTCCCTGGAAATAGATTCCAGGAGTGCTGCCACGGCTGTGGCCCGCTGCCCCGACCACAGAGTCACCTCTCCCAGGGATGCCGCTGGAAGGGGAAAGAAAGAAGCAAGAGCGAAGTAAATTACTAAAGCTTAGATAGATTTCAGAAGGGCAGCCATCACTGTAGCCCGCTGCCCCGCCCAATGTCACCTCCCCCAGAGATGCCACAGGGGGGGAAGCCGTGGAAAAGGAAGAGCAGGAGAAGGGGGCATGGCGAGAAACAGCGGGGGGGGGGGAGGGGGGGGAGGGAGTCGTGGGTGAGATCATGAAAGGGAAATAGCAGGGCGGGAGGAGGAGATGAGGGGAAGTGGAGAAAAGCAAGGAAAAGGAGGGGGTACGACGATTGGATAAAAGGGAGCGAGGCAAGTTGGTGCAACGAGTTGCTCTTATGAATCATCTATGAAAGGGGTACTTACAGAGGATTCTGAACAGTGCTGAGTTGGCAACAGGGACGGTTCGGATGGACGAGCTAAAGATACACAGCTAGTAAGAGAGTTTGAGAGAGAGAGCTGTCAACAACATGAGTACAAGGAAGCATGGAAGGCACACGAGCAGGCAAAAGAAAGGCACAAGGGCGGGCAGGCACAAGGTGGGAAGCTCACTGGGGTCAGCACAGGAGCCAATGCGGGCTGCAGCAATGGCTGTGACCGTGGCTTCTGCCAGAACCGCACCCCACCCTTCCTCCACCCCTGCTCCTGCTGCTGCTGCTGACGAGGCAAGAGAGTCAGCTTGGTCGAAGGAGGAGGAATCAGAGAGTGGAGCAGAGCGCAGCAGGCGCAGGCACGTGGTCATGATGCTGGGTAGCAGAAGCACCTTGCCCTGGCGGGGTGGGTTGCAGGTGCGGGCAAGGGGTGGGTTGCAGGTGCGGGCAAGGGGTGGGTTGCAGGAATGCAGTGATTGAGAATCTGTTAACAATAGCTCCTGAGGAGGCTTACAAGTCATGGGTGCCGTGCAGGAGAACATTTTGAAGCCGTGGGAGTGGTGGAAGGAACACAGGAGTACAAGCCACATCACAAGCCAAGATGCAGCAAACGTAGGTGGTGATTCTGCTTGACAGAAGCAGCAGCAAAAATAGAGCCTCTGCACAGAAGCAGGTAGCACATAGCATGGCAGACGGCATTGCAGATAGCATGGCAGACGGCAATGATTGTTTGTAAGAATCGGGGCAAGTGATTCTAGGAGTGCTACAAGAGGGACGAAGACGAATGGGATGGGGTTGTTACCTGGGAGGAGAGGCGGGGGGCGATGGAGGCGACGAGCTTGAGGGCAGAGATGAGCAGAGATGCCTCTGCTGCTGCCAGCGAGGCAGTGGATTCACTGATGGGGGAAAGGGGGGAGGGAGGGGACAAAAGGTAGGGGCATGCAGTATGAAGTGAGTCCTCAAAGGGCTGTGTGGGAGTGAGTGAGTGCAAGAGAAGCAGGTGTTGCGAGAGACAGCAAGTGCAGATGAGCAAAGCACAGTGCATCCAAGGCGGAGGAAGACCCACGTGGAAGAAGAAAGACAAGGTGGAAGAGGCATGGTGTGACTGACAGGGCGGTTCCACTCCATGCAAAGGTGTTCATCTCACGAGTTGCACTGCGCTGCACCTATTGCTGTCAGGGGAAACTAGGGCCGACCGTGACACCTGGCAGGCACTGTCCGCGACTACCATACATCTCAGCGCAATACCCAAGCGTTTGGATGAAGCAGCTCAAGCCTGTAAGGGTCTCTAAGTGAACCCTCCCTAATGGCGGGCCTCTAAGGGACTCTTTCTTACCTGGTGCTATCAGTGGCAGAGTGCAGGGCAGAGTGCAGCAGGTGCATGCATGCCGCCAGGGCAGCTGATACAATGTCCAAGTTGGAGATCAGGGCGTCTGGTGCGCATGCCATGAACTGGGGAGGAAAAGGGGAAGAGGGGAAAAGAGGTGGGGAGAGGCAGAAAGGGGGCGGGGGGGAGATGGATGTTTAAGGATGAAACTGGGAGGGAGCATGGTGAATGCAGAACGGAAAGGTAGAGGGGAGGAAGGCGCAAGGTGGGAATCGAAAGCGCGAATGAGGGAAGCACAGAGGGTGAGCGACAAGGGGAACAAGGGTGGGGACGAAAAGGGCTGCATGTTATGATGGCATATAGAAGCCGTCCGTCCTTCCTTGGTACTGAAAACGGAAGCTTCCTTGGTGAGTACATCCAGTGCCTGTGCCCTGAAATTTGAAGCACCCCAAGACTTTCGATATTTCAGGCCCACCAATAAGGCATCTTTTGTTTTGAGGTGCCTCAAAAGTCGTCCTTGGTGCTGAAAAAGGCATGCTACCTTGGTGAGTACGTCCAGTGCCTGTGCCTTGAGCGCCATGTCTCCATCCTCCATCACTGACGCAATGACCTGAGCAACACACACACGCACGGTCAAGCAGCACAAGCAGGAGCAAGCAGAAACCGGTTTTTAGGCTCCTTAAACGTCCAGTGCCTGTGCCTTGAGCGCCATGTCTCCATCCTCCATCACTGACGCAATGACCTGAGCAACACACACACGCACGGTCAAGCAGCACAAGCAGGAGCAAGCAGAGACCGGTTTTTAGGCTCCTTGAACGTCCAGTGCCTGTGCCTTGAGCGCCATGTCTCCATCCTCCATCACTGACGCAATGACCTGAGCAACACACACACACACGGTCAAGCAGCACAAGCAGGAGCAAGCAGAAACCGGTTTTTAGGCTCCTTAAACGTCCAGTGCCTGTGCCTTGAGCGCCATGTCTCCATCCTATGTGGAGAAAGACGCTGGGGCAGCCCTGCGTCCTGCGTCCGGACGCAGCGTCCGGACGCAAAGACGCAGGACGCGCGTCCGGACGCAGGACGCACCCTGGAAAATTTTTCGGGCAGACCGAGATTATTTTTTTTCGCGATCGCGAAATTGACATTCGCGATTTCGTCGCGAATGTCAATTTCGCCAAAATTCGACACCCCCCAAGCAAATTCGACCCCCAAAACCAGCCATCTAATTCACCCCTAACCCCCTCCCCTTTTTGCAAAATTGATTTGGAAATCCAACCCCTCTCCACCACTCCACAACTAAGAAACCCAACCTTTGTGGTCCACCACCCCCACAAAGCCCATTTAGTTCATGAAACCTCTCATTTGTGCTCCCTTTTCTCACAACCCAATTCTCTTTCAAAAACCCTAGTGGTTTTAGCTCCTTTCCGCGCACCACCGTTATGGCTAGCTCTAGCAATCCCTCGTCTTCTAGCGCATCGAAAGACGTCGTTCCCGACGGCGATACTCCCCCCAAGCGTTTCACTACGGAAGGCGTTGAGAAAAAGCCGCAAAACCCAAGTCACCATATTTATAGGTATTTTTGGACCTTCGACGATCCGAAGAAGAGGGGGAAGCAGTGCGAGTGTCTTTGGTGCGGGAAAGAGTTCGCCTTTAGTAGTAGCCGATGCACCCAGCATCTCGCCGAATGGAACGACGAGAACGTGCGGCGCGATGGCGGAATTGTTTGCGCGAAGGTTCCGAAGCGCGTTTCCGACTCCATTCGCGACGGGAAGGAGAGCAAGATTACGGCGCGCAAGGAAAAAGAGAGGGCGACCGATGCGGCACTCAACGCAGTGAGCGGCGTAGGCGGTGCGGGACTGAAGGCTAAGAAGGGGCGGATGGAGGATTGGTATGGTGAGGGGGGGAAGACGGCGACGCGTGCGGCCGGCGAGGCAATTTGCCTCTACATCGCGGGGACGCGCACGGCGGAACGTCAGTGCGAGCACCCGTTCTTCCTCAACATGCTGCGCGCCGTTGCTGCCGCTGGAAGCAGCTACGTCTCTCCCAAGCGTGACTTCGTCGGCGGCGTCGGGCTGCAGGAGTGCAAGAGGCGGATTGAAAAGGGGTTGGAGCCCATTACGAAAACCTGGACGGAGACCGGCGTGACGATTGCCAGCGACATGATGCGGGACAAGAGCGGGCGCGCGCAGATGAACATCATTTGTATCAACGACAACGGCGCGGTGTTCCAGGAGGCGGTCGACTGCAAGGCGGAGACTAAGAGTGGGGCTTTCATCGTGAGCGTCCTGCAGCCGATCATCGAGAAGATTGGGCCGCAGCACGTCGTCGCTTTTTGCTCGGACGGCGGCAGCAACTACGTGTCCGCCGGCAAGAAGCTGCAGGGGATCTACCCGCATCTCGAGTTCGTTCCCTGCGCCACTCACGTGCTCGACCTGCTGATTGAGGACATCGGCGGGATGGACTGGGCGCAGGAGGTCGTCCCTGTTGCGAACGACATCATCTCCTTCGTGCGCAGCCACACGTGGACGCGCGCCTTCCTGCGGTGTCCCGAGCTGCACGGCGAGGAGAAGTCGCTGCAGGCGCTGCGCCGGCGGGCACGCGCTTTGGGACGAACTTCATCGCTGTGTCGCGGCTGCTCAAGATCCGTCAGCATCTGACGCAGATGGTGACGCACAAGGATTGGGAGGAGAAGGGAGGTAGCACGCAGACTGGAAAGACATTTGCGGCGTCGGTGTTGGATGTGGGGTGGTGGAACAAGGCGGAGACATTCGTGAAGGTGATGGAGCTGCCCTACAAGGTGATGAGGCGGACTGATGGGGAGGCGAAGGGGAGGATGGGTGAGATGTACGACATCATGCTGCAGCTGACGGAGGACTTGCAGAAGCTGTTGGAGAAGGATGATTGTGGGCTCAAGAGGGCGGATAAGGAGGGGGTGAAGGAGCACCTGAGGCGGCGTTGGGATGAGAACTTGGCCTGCCCCCTTCACGTGGTTGGCCGGATTTTGAACCCGGCCAACCAGGAGGAGGGGATCTACCACAAGGACGTCGAGTGCACCAGGGTGATGAAGGCGTGGCTCCAGCGCTCGAAGGCATTCGTCGACAAGTATTGGAAGAGCGGCGGCGACACTAAGGGGACGATGAAGGCGCTGCAGGAGGGGATGCTTGCGTTCATTGAGGGGAAGGGGTGCTTCGGGTCTGAGGATGCAATAGAGGGGCGGGCGGAGATTAAGGCCGGGAAGGGGGACATGGTGACGTGGTGGAAGGTGAACGGCTGGGAGTACCAGGAGCTGGCTGGCCTTGCGTGCCGGGCGCTCTCACAGCCCGTCTCCGCTTCACCATGCGAGCGCGGATGGTCCACGTGGGATGGCGTGCACACGGCGCGCAGGAACAGGTTGGGTTCGGAGAAGGTCCGCGACCTTGTGTTCGTTGCGCACAACTGGAACATTGTGCACAACCACCACAAGGGTGCGGCGGGTGCGGGGCCGAGTGGGGAAGTCAGGAAGGCGGGAATAGTGGAGGGGAACATTCCCCCCCGACCCCTTCCCGAGGGGTACAAGCTTGAGGAGGATGGAGAGGTGGAGGTGGATGAGGATGACCTCACCTTCGACGAGTACAAGGAGCAGGAGGATTTGGAGAAGGAGGAGAAGGGGATGGAGAGCGAGGAGGATGAGTGATGCATGTTAGTTAGTGGTAGTATGCATGCATGCTAAACAACCCTTGGACTAATTGTGATTATGGAAATTTGGGGCTCACCTTCATGTTCTATTGTTGTGGCTGAAATTTTGTTGTTGAGGAGAAATTTTGCTATGACAGTGTGTTCCCCCCCCCCCCCCCCCCCCCCCCCCCTCTTACCCCCTCTTCCCTCTGCCCTATAACTTTTTTTTTGCTGCCCGGGGGGTTTTTTTTGGCTGCCCGGACCTGCGTCTTTTGCTGCGTCTCGGGGGCCCTAAACTAGCGTCCAGCGTCTGGACGCATGCGTCTAGGACGCTGGACGCGTCTTTCTCCACATAGTCTCCATCCTCCATCACTGACGCAATGACCTGAGCAACACATGCACGCACGGTCAAGCAGCACAAGCAGGGACAGGCGGGAACAAGCGGGAGTGCCGGAGCATTGCGATGGGAAGATTTTCGCCGAGGAAAAGTGTGAGGGGCGGAGGGAAGTTACATTCTATCGTATGTTTAAGCTTGGCAATCAGACTTGAAAGTAGTTGTATCTTGTGCAAATAGGGGCCCCTTCCTCACCTGCAGCAGCTCCAGGCAATCCTCCTCCTCAATAAAGTCACCCCCAAAGAACTCTCGGTGACGTTTGAGTCGACTCAAAAGTCAGCTTGGAGCCCACCCACTCATCCTCACCTGCAACAGCTCCAGGCAGTCCTCTTCCTCGATGAAGTCACCCCCAAAGAACTCCCGCTGCATCAACCGCCCCAACGCCCGCAGCGCCACACTCCTCCCCTCCCCAACAACCGCCCCGCTGCTGCCTCCCTTGCAGCCCCACGACGCATCCGCTTGCAAGAAATCCCCTATCACCACCTCGCCCCCCTGCTCCTGCTGCTCTTGCCCCTGCTGCCCCTGCTGCCCATCCTCCGATGTTCTCCTTGACCCCTCTGCCCCTCCGTTTTCCCCAGAACCAGCACCACTGGTCTTATCTCCAGCGGGATGGCAGATGGCATACAGGCAAGCAGCCCATAGCTGGTGAAACTGCTTCGGATCGATGCCCCCATACAATGTGGCACTAGGAGGGCCTTTAGACCCAGCCGAGCTAGGACCTACTGCGAAGACAGGAGCGAGAATCGTCACCCCCGAACCTGCCGCAGCCGCCGCCGCTGCGGCTGCCTCGGCATCTGCTGCCGCAGCTGCAGCGGCTGCAGCAGCCGCTGCCGCAGCTGCTTCCTTCGCCGCAGACAGGTTGGGTTTGACGCCTAAAGTAACAGCATCTAGAACAACCGGGGACGACGCGAGAAGGTACCGTTTGATCAACGGGAGCATGGACGGAGACATCTCAGCAGCGTACGAGGACCGATATACCGCCTGCACGTTTGGCTCGAGGGAGAACGCGGCGAGGTAGTCACGCAGAAGGGCAACCCAGTGGGACACGAGCAAGTCGGGGGTTTGCTCGACCGCCGCTCGCACTTTACGGAGGGCGGCGAGACGTGTGTCGGACTCGAAATGCTCGTCCTCTGAGTCGTATCCGGCTTCGGGAGTGGCTGCTGTGGCAGGGGCGCCTGCGGCGGCGAGTTGCGCGTCGTAGGAGGCGAGAGTGAGGGATTTGAGGCGGGCATGCCGCACCACTAGCTCGACCTTCACCTGTGGGGGTGCGGTGGGGAGTGGTGGATAAGGGCACAAGGGGGCGTGGGGAGGTTTGTATGGAGATGTGTGGCATGGAGGAGTGGACGTCATAGGTGGAGAGAGTGAGGGACTTGAGGCGGGCGTGCCGCACCACTAGCTCGACCTTCACCTGTGGAGGTGTGTAGGTGGGGGGTGGGGGGGTTGGGGGTGCAGAAGGGTGGACTTGCATAGAAGGATTGAGAGGGATGAAATGATGCTGAGGGGTAGCGGAGGACATGACTGAAGAGATAGTGAAGAGGGGGAGGAATAAGTGTGGGCTGTGGCAAACTGCTGCTGGTACGAAAACAATGGATACAAGCTGAACTTGAACGTGCATTTTGAGTTGATAGAACGTGAACAAGAGAAAGGGGAGGGGAGCTGACCTTGAAGCCAACCCATTCTGCATAGGACCAGTTGCCAAGGGCATCCCACTTGCTGAGGGGCGTGGCCAACAGGGTCATGACACGTGGCACCACAGATTCGTCTGAGCCTCTTAACCTGCCGCTCACAACCTGGTCATGTGACACAGAGAGAGGATGTGGGGAAAGAGGGTGGGATATACAGGGAGGGAACAAACGGGGCAGGGGGGAATGGGAAGCGGGTGAATATTGAGGGAGCATATGGAGAACACATGCAGGGAAGGGAGCATACAAGGTGCGCATGGGCATGGGCAGCGGCATGGGCATAGGCATGGGCATGGGCATGGCTACTGGCATGGGCACCACACAAACCACATGCAAACACTACATGCATGCATGCACTAAGCCTAGAGCACAGCACGCAAACAGCACACGAGTACTCTCTGAGAAACAGAAACCAGAATAGCGCAAGAGGATGGTGGGCAGGAGCTCTCACCTTATCTGCCAGCCTGGCACCTGCCAGCAGCAGCAGCGGATTGTTGGCAGCATCCATGGCTGTGCGCACCGTGGACACATACTGCGCCTGGTGGGGTGGAGTGGGACGCACAGATGTACAGGGACGGAAGAGGAAAGGGGGTGGTTTTGTGTGGTTTCGTAGTAGACAACTGGTAGTAGAACCTAACTGGAGGTACTACACGACCAGATTTCGTCCCTAAGTCAGCATCCTCTGTGTCATGGAACATAATCAGCCAGCAACAGCAATACGGGCAGAGGATTTTCAAATCAAAAGAAGGGAACCTATAATGTACGTACCTGGTATTGCTCGAGCAGAATGTGGCCCTCAAAGTCTGGATCCTCTGTGTGACCAAACTGCATCAGCCAGGACGACGGGCAGAGCGGACAGGGAGGGAGGGAAAGAGGGGGAGAATGAGATGGGAGAGGGGGAGATGAGGAGAGGAGAGCTGCAGGAAGGAAGAAGAGCCTGGTGCTGAATAGTATGGATAGCACGCCTAGACTACTCAAGAAGAGGCATTTGAAGCGAGCGGGGAGCAGCGGGAAGAGAGCAAAGAGCAAGGAGCGTAGAGCGGAGCAGAGCAGAATGGAGCGGGGCAGGGCGGAGCAGAGCAGGGCAGAGCGGAACAGGGCGGGGGAGCATGGAGCGGAACAGAGCAGAGAGTATCCCGCTCATGGGGGAACACACGCACCTTGTCCAGTATGGTCCCAAGGAGAGACACCCCCATGGGGCGAACGCCTTCCATGCTTCCTGTTGCCATCTGGGAGAGGCGTCGGGAGGGCATGGTGGCGGGCAGAGGGCGGGGGGCGGAGGGTGGGGGGTGGAGGTTTGAGACGTCTTAAGCTTAAAGAAGGAAGTAGGGTGGTGAGAGAAACGGAGGTGGAAGAGGTGACGGTGAGGGAGATATAGAGGGATAAGGATGGGTAGGATATGGTGGAAGGACAACACTCCGAGGACGAGAGGAGATACAGGAAAGAAGTGAGAGGGAAAAGCAAGAGAGACGGAGCTTTGAGATGCCTAAACACGTGAACCCACTCTTCCCCACTGTCCCTCTCTGCCCCTTCACACACGCGCCCACCCTCACAAAGCCTCTGAGAGCCCACCTGGAAGGCCACAGCCACGAGGTCACCCAGATGCAGCACGAGCCAGTCCGCCTGCTGTGCACTGCCTCCGCTCTCTCTCCTCTCCTACACGCACCTCAAGACGCCTCCAGACACATCGCATCCCAACAACCCACCTGGAAGGCCACAGCCACAAGGTCACCCAGATGCAGCACGAGGCAGTCCGCCTGCTGTGCACTGCCCGCGCTGCTGCCCCCCCTGCCGCCCCTGCTCTCCCACACACACACATTCCTCACAGCACCTCCTTCAGATACATGCCAATGTCATCCAGAGAGCCCACCTGGAAGGCCACAGCCACGAGGTCACCCAGATGCAGCACGAGCCAGTCCGCCTGCTGTGCACTGCCCCCTCCACTCTCGCGGCCGGCCTGCCTCCTCGCGTCCACTTTATGTTTTGCGACAGTGATGTCAAAGTGAGCAGGGTCGGAGCCCACCATGTAGGGCAGCCGGGAGAGGCACCTGGGCGCGGCAGGGGATAAAGCGCAGGGAGGAAGTGCAGCAGGGCGAAAGGAGAGAACGCGTTTAGATTTGTCTTGGAAAACACATTAGAGTGAGCAGGGTAGGAGCCCACCATGTAGGGCAGCCGGGAGAGGCACCTGGGCAAGGCAGGGGATAAAGCGCAGGGAGGAAGTGCAGTGCAGCAGGGCGAAAGGAGAGAACGCGTTTAGATTTGTCTTGGAGAACACATCAAAGTGAGCAGGGTCGGAGCCCACCATGTAGGGCAGCCGGGAGAGGCACCTGGGCAAGGCAGGGGATAAAGCGCAGGGAGGAAGTGCAGCAGGGCGAAAGGAGAGAACGCGTTTAGATTTGTCTTGGAGAACACATCAAAGTGAGCAGGGTCGGAGCCCACCATGTAGGGCAGCCGGGAGAGGCACCTGGGCAAGGCAGGGGAAGACACAAGGGCGAAAAACACACAGGGAGCAGGTGCAGGGGACGACGCAAGGGCGAAAGGAGAGAGAGTGTTTAGATTTGTCTTGAAGAACACTTTAGAGTGAGCAGGGTCAGAGCCCACCACGTAGGACAGCCAGGATAGACACCTGGGCGCAGCAGGGGACAAAACGCAGGGAGCAGGTGCAGGGGATGACGCAAGGGCAAAAGGGAAAAGAGTGTTTAAGTTAGTTCTGGAGACCACATAAAGGTGAGCAGGGTTCAAACCCACCATGTGGGGCAGCCGGGAGATGCACCTGGGCGTCACGACGACGGGAGGGTGGCAGGAGGGACAGGCGGCCTTGTTCGCTTCGCTGAAGAAGAGTGGGATAGAGGACTCTTGAGTTGACTGGGAAGAAGCATCGAAGTGAACAGGGTCCAGCCCACCAGGTAGGGCAGCTGGGAGAGACACCTGGGCGGGTGACGTGGAGCCTAAGGGAGAAGACACACCAGCTGCGAGGGCAAAACACGCCATGAAGAACTCACTTTGCCGCAAACACTCTCGTCCTGAACCTTGGCAGCTGATCCACTCCCCTCCTCACTGCCCCTCCTCCCCCTCCTCCCACGCCCCCAATCGGTGTCCCTCCACCTATCACCGCCCCGCCCCCTTTCCCCGCTCCTCCTCCCCCTCCCGCTTCCCCTGCCCCCGCCCCAGCTCCTGCTGCTCCCCCTGTGCGCGCTCCATCCCCCCCTGCCGCCACCATACTCTCATCATCCTCCTCGTCCTCCCCTGCTTCCCCCTTCCGCCCCTCCCCTGCGACTTCCTTTGCCTCGCCTGCTCTCCTAGTGGCAGACGCTGCTAGCACCTGAAAGAAAATGATACGCCCGGGGTGGGTGGGAAGGACGAGGCACAGGTGGGTGGGTAGCGCGGTTTTGCGGGAAGAGGAGAGGGGTGGAAAGGGGCGTGGAGGAAGGGGGCGGAGAGTGGAGAGGGTGGGGGAGAAAAAACGAGGCAGCTGATACGGAACCCGGAGATGCACACGAGAAAAAATCTCAATGATTCATGGCTACACAGGAAGAAAGGTCTAAGGAGGAGCTATCTACAGCGGCAACAAACAACTTCTGGAAAGAAGAGGAGGGAAGAGCAGACGAAGCTGAGGGAAGTTGGAGAGAGGGAAAGGAGATTTTGCAACAGGAAATCGTGAAGAGGTAGCACTAGTATAGCGTACATACCACGTTCTTGCAGAGGCGAAGCCATCGACTGGGGTATGTGGGGCATGCAGCCTCTAGCAGTCGCTCCAAGGCCATGCACACACCGGATATGACCCTGGCCAGTGATGCAGACAGACAAAGAATGGGCATTTGGTGGGAAGGGGGATGGAAACAAAGGAAAATCATTTTTTAGGCGCCTCAAAGATCATGCAGCCTCCAGGCAGGAGTCGCCCTTAAGACAATGCACACACCGGATATGCCCCTGGCCAGTGATGCAGACAAAGCAAAGGGCGTGTGAGGAAACGACAGAAACGAAGGAACCCAAAAGAAGAAAAAAAAAGGGGGGGGGGGAGGGGAGGGGGAGGGGGAGGGAGGGGGGGGGGGGGGGGGGGGGGGGGGGGGGGGGGGTGACATTACACCCATGCATATCTGCCCTGGACCCCACCCTGCCCCATGCGCAAATGCACACCCGCCCCATGCACGCATGCACGGCACGCATGTGCGCACACACACCTGGGGTCCGTCTCGTTGTCAAGCATGGAAAAGAGGTCCTCCTCTATCTGCTCTGATACCATGGCCGCCTGACAGCAAGAGCAGCAGCAGAGGTCACAGGTGCAGCACGTAGAACCACATCACCGAGCATGTATAGCATGAGAGGGTGGGGTGGGGGTGAAGGGTTGGAGGAACACAACACAGATTGGGAAAAAATGAGCATTGTTTGTTACATCAAACTACAGTTTTTCACTTCTGCTAAAAGGAATGTAATGTAAAAGTGAGTGCAGGAGTGGAGGAAAAGTTAACTGACACTTGATACTGCGAGGTATGAGAAGAATCCATCCTACAAGAAAAGCCAGACGCTGACAGGAAGCGCAAACAAGGGAGGTGCTTACCGGCTCTCTCTCACACATGTGACGCAGAGTGGAAATGGCAGCAAACCGCAAACTCGGCTGCATGGGTTAAAAAAGGGTTGCAAGGGGTCGAAAGCCAGAAAAACAAGGTGTAAGGCGAAAGAAATGGAAATTATGGAGATCTTGTGAGGCAGGGGGCATTTACCCTGACTCATTTACCCTGACTTGTGCATGGCCTTAAGGCATTTATCCTTAAGGTTTTTAAGGGCACGTAGAACAAAAAATTAAGTCACGAGAACAACGGGAAGAAAGGCAAAGCGCTGAGGTGAGGAAAGGGAGGTGAGCAGACAGTGGCCATCGAGGGAACATGGGGAAAATGAAAGGTGGAGGGCAAGTGGAGTTCAGATGGGAAAGGAACAAATGGCACGGCTTGGCATGGGATGGAATGCCATGGCCTGGCGTGACATGAGATGGCATGGGATGGCATGGGATGGGATGGCACCTGGCGGGAGGTGAGGGTGGCGCGGAGGGTGGTAACATGGTGGTGCAGAGGCATGGCCTGAGGCGCAAACAGCACCAGCTGCTGTGTGTACAGCACACACCTGAGAGCATGGGAGGGCAGGCAAGGGGGGAAGGGGGGGGGGGAGAGGGGAGTTGGGGCGGTGAGTTAGGAGGAGGAAGGATGCATGAGTTAGGACAGGATATTCTTTAAACCTCGAGACAACATTTAGGACAAAGAGCAGGAATTCTGAAGGTGGAGAGAAGAGGAAGAATGGGAGGGAGAGAGAGGGGGATGGGAGTGGAAGAGGGAGAGGGAGAGGAGGAGGGGAGTGCAAGAGGGGGGAAAGGGGTGGTGGGGGGGACGACACGGCGATAGAAGGAGAGAACGAATGCAGCAGGGTGGCTTACTCTAGCTGTGCAGCAGGGTCGTTTCTCTGGCTGATGTCATCCAGAATACACTGTCACATGGAGCGCATTCCATTCCAGAACCGGCAGGCAAGGGAAGAAGAGAGAGAAAGAGGCGGAAGGAGAGAGGAAGAGAGAGAAAGAGAAGGGCCCCATTTGGTTGGTGAGTTGCATTGCATTCTTAGAGAAAAAGAGGAAGGTAGCTTGGTGAACAGTGAGTGAGCCAGTGAGAGCAGGAAAGTGCAACCTGGTACCTTGCAGTGGTAGAAAACCGTGGAGCCTGGAAGCAGCTCGGGAGGGCCAAAGACGGTTACCAGGGCATTGACCAGACGAGCCACGCTCTCTGAAGAAGGCTTTGAGACGCCTCAAAATCGAGTTTTGAGACGTTTCAGAACTCACCTTGCAGCGGTAGAAGACCGTAGAGCCTGGGAGCAGCTCAGGGCCAAAGACGGCCACGAGGGCGTTGACCAGACGAGCCACGCTCTGAGGCAAGCCCGCTGCGACGTGGTCGTCTGACAGCAGCACGTCCATCAGCAGCGACAAGGTGGCCTGGGGGGACATGGTGGTGGGATGGAGGGATGGGGGGTATGGGGGGATACAGAAACGATTGCTGGGCGCATGGAGGCAGGCCCGCTGCGACGTGGTCGTCTGACAGCAGCACGTCCATCAGCAGCGACAAGGTGGCCTGGGGGGGCATGGTATGGTGGGGATGAGGGGATGAGTATGTGGGGTGCACACATGGGTTTACAGGAGAGCACGGAGCACATAAGCGATCACTCAGTGTATGTGTGTGAGTAGGCCCGCCTGCTGCAATGTTATTGTCCAACAGCAGCGACAGGGTAGCCTGGGGGGACATGGTGGGGATGGGAGAATGAGTATGTGGGGTGCGCACACAGGAGGGTGGCGCACACGAGCAATTATTGGGTGGATGGGGGAAGGCACACTGTCTCACGTGAATCGAAGCACATTCGTTAGTAGCAGATTTTGCCAACGTGACAAAGTTGATCGAGTTTTCATTTGAAAGGCTTATCAAGGGCGCATAAATTATCCGTGGCCCAGCACAGGAAAAGAGGGGGAGGAAGGGGAAGGAGGAGGGAGGAAGAGCAAGAAAGAGGGAGTAAGTGGTAGGAAGAGGGAGAATAAACACGGGGAAAACCTCACCTGTACATGGGGAGTGTACGAGAGGCCAGCAGCGTCGGCAGCAAGCCAGAGCGCGTGCAGAGCCCAGATGTGCCCCAGGTGCTCTCCTGGTGCACGTGCCATGGCCATTAGGAACTGCACCACTGGGGAGATGAAGGATGAGAGCGCTATGCCACCCACACTGAGAATGGGGTAGGGATATTGGAGAAGAGCGGAAAGAAAGAAGCGGGAGAGGGGGGCGTGATGGGCAATGGCACGTGCCATGGCCATAAGGAACTGCACAACCGGGGAAACAAAGGACAACAGCTCTATGCCACCCTCACTGGGGAAGGGGAAGTGGGATGATGGGGAAAAGGGGCAATAAGGAGCCACAGCATAAGGAACTGCACCAATAGAGACACGAGACGACAGCTCTATGCAGCCCACACTAGGGAAGTGCAAGAGGGAGGCATACGGAGGAGAGTAGCACCACAGGGAAAGGTATCAATGGGACAATCAAAGAGGGTGAGGGGAGATAAGCGGGACACGGCATGTGAAAGGTGAAAAATGGCTCACTCCCAACCTCTGTGGGGCTGCAATGGAAGAACAAAGACAGGCGAGAGAGGTGTGAGCAGCGAGGAGGGAGGGAGGAGGGGGAGGAGGAGGGAGCAGCGGGGAGAGTACGAGAAATCAAACGAGACATGGAGGGTATTCAACGCAACTGACCTGCGGAGCACTGATCCGAATGCGAGAGCGACAGCTGCCCTGGTGGAGGGGTCAGTGGCCGCTTCCCCCTCTGCCAGTAGAGAACGGATCTGAGAGGGCGCATAGCCAGGGAGAGAAGGACAGGGGGGGAGTGGGAGGGAGGGGTGAGAGAAAAGGAAGGAAGGTGAGAAGGGAATGTATAGAACGAACGCGGATGGACAGGGGTGACACACAGTGAGAGAGACAGACAAGACGCAATGGCCTGGCCTTTTCCTGGCTCATATATTGCAGCTGAGGCAGTAAAGGGACTATCTCCCAGGCAAGCAAACAGACCAAGGGCCTCTTCAAACGTCTCAGATGTGTAGTCACACCAGGCGGGCAACAAAGAGTTCTTTTGTCTTGTCACCCAGACAAGCCAGCGAGCCAATTTTGAGGCGCCCAAACATACACAAGCCAACAACAGCCCAGGGGCATCTTGAGACGTCTCGGATGAGAAGTCTCACCAGGCGCACAGCAAAGAGATCGTCTCCCAGGCGAGCCAGCAGGCCCAAGGCCTCTGCTGACGCCCTCTTGAACGCTGGGTTGGACGGGTCACTCGCCACAAAGCTCTGTAGCGGGGGGGAGAGGGGGAGAGACGGGGGAAGAGAGAGGAAAGGGTAGGCGAGAGGGGGAGAGGGGGGAAGAAAGAGAAAGAGAGGGGAAGAGAGGGGCGAGAGGGACGAGAGGGGGTGAGTGGGATGAGATAGAATGAGAGGGGGAGAGAGGTGGAGAGAAGGGATGAGAGGAGGAGAGGGGGGGGGGGGGGGGGGGGGGGGGGGGGTGGGGGGGAGGAAAAGGTTTGACAGCACACTCGTACACAGCTAAACGGCTGTGGCAGCAACAAAACAAGCACAACAGACTGGTGTAAGGGAAGGACATGTGGGCAGCAGCCTAAGCAGTGGGTTCCCCCATCAAGGAGGTTGACTTGACACTTATCCGAGCACTGCCCAGGAAGAAAGTGCTGAGTAGTAAGGGACCCTCCAAGTGGGTGGATGCGCCAGCCTACCTGAACCAGCGCCTGGATACGACGCAGGGTCTCTGCATCCTCCTCCTTTGCCTTGTGTGCTACCATGGCCTGATGCAAGCCGTGTGGTAGAACAGGGAGGCAAAAACGGGGAGATGGGGAGGAGGGAGAGGGCGGGAGGGAGGAGTGAGGGAGCAGAGCGTCTCAACAGTAAGTTACCGTGGTCCTACGTGTGGGATGACAAAGGATGGGGACGAGGGGGAGGGGGGAACGGGGGGGGATTGAGTGAGGGGGGAGGAATTGACGGGAATGGGTAGCATATTGGGGTGGGGTGAAAGCAGGTCATACAGAGGAGCAGGTCTGTGTGTGTATATGCTTCGTGAGCTTTCACTGCAAGCACGCCCTTCCCCCCCACCCCCCCCCCCACCTTCCCCCTCCCAACACACACACACAACCACCGGACATGAGCGCGAAACTCACCTTGAGAGTGCCAACCACCACCACGCAGGCATTGGCAGTGGCAGAGACGCGCAGAGCCTGGCGCTTGTTGCCCTTCACCGCCACAGACAAGGTATCCACCAGCGCTACCTTGGACATTGGAACCTGCGAGCACGTTGTGCACGGGGATGGGCGAAAAACAGGGTGTTTTGATTACAATCATTGGAAAGGCATGCATGGAATTGGAGTGCCTGTATACATCAGCAGGTCTGCAGCGGGTTAACCCAAGGGCTATTGCATATGAAACGGCTGACAGTGTTAGAAAATTAGCTTATGGGGCATGGACCATGGGGTATGCAGCATTGCATATGGGACACGGGGCATGGGGCATGGGTGGGCATGGGGCGTGGGGCATGTGACATGGGACATGGGGGATGGGGCATGCAGCATGGGGCATGGGGTATTGAGCATATGGTATGATGGCACCTGGATGGGGAAGAGCGCGATGAAGCAGCGTAGCATGGAGTCGACTAGAGCCACTCCCAGAGGCACGGACTGCAGTGGCGGTGCCATGGCGATGCGGGGAATGATGGGGAAGAGATGGAGAAAGGGAAGGGGGCGTCAGGCATGGAAGCGAGGGGTTAATGAGAGGCTGAACATGGGAAATTGTGCAGGGCGTTAAGTAGCGGGCGGGGGGCAAAAGGGGGGACGGGAAGCGAAGTTGAACCCAAGGTGAGAAAGAGTTCTGTGGTAGCTGCACTGCTAGCTTCAGGAGAGAGAAGGAGGCGCCGGGTGTGTAGGATGTGTGGGGTGTGTGGGGTGTGGGGTGTGTGGGGTGTGGGGTGTGTGGGGTGTGTGGAGTGTGTGGGGTGTGTAGGGTGTGTGGGGTGTGTAGAGTGCGTAGGTGTGTGCATGTGAAATATCATATAAGCACAAGGGGGGGTTGCACCTGTGGGAAGGTGGAGGTGTCATCTTCCCAGACAGACGCAATGACCCCATCCATGCCACCCTCCAGCGCACGTAACTCGTCCTCCAGCACATCCCTGTGTGATAGCACACACTCACGCACACGCACACGCACATGCATGCACACGCACATGCACATGCACACACACACATGCATGCAAACATTCACACACACGCACTCACACACATGCTCGCACACGCTCACACACACACACGGACAAATGCACACACACAGCGGCACACGCGCATGCACGCACACATGCACATGCATATGAACTGGCGGTTCTGTATGCATGTTCGTATGTAGGCATGTGTGTGTGTACACAGTGCTGTGTACATGCATCCACCAGACACTGCAAGGGGCAAACATGTCGTTGACAGGCTAGAAAGCTGGAGCGAGGGAGAGAAGGAACAAGAGACGGAACAGGTAATGGAGGGAAGCTGACCTTCCCGGGAACCAGGGGCCAAGATTGGAGTCACTGGGCTCTAGCAGAGTGCGGAGGAGAGAGCTGCTCGGGTATGATGCCGTTTCTCTGAGGGCGCCAGGGTGGTGGGGGAAGAGTGGGCGAGAGAAGTGGGGTTGAGAGGGGGGGAAAGAGGGAGGTCGTAAACTAATGAAGGGAGCAACGGAATTGGAAGGGGGTGGTGGTCGGTTGTACTGGTTAAATGGTGGACTGGTAGGGTGGCGAGAACGAGGAGAAGGCCACGGCAGAGCACAGTAGCAGGAGAGCGGCTCAAGGACAGTGACATGGAAGGGATCAAATCAAGCAAGGGAAGTACCGGAAGGGAGCGGTGCAGATGTCGATGAGCATGGGGTGCAGGTGGCGGTAGAGTGCAGGGTCGGGCAACGCGTGGAAGGTGTTGAGCGTGCGCACTATGAACAGCTCCGCGTGCTGCTTCACTGATGACGACGCCTCGCCCAGGGTTGATGACGCAATGTACGTCAGTGCTCTGTGAGGTGGGGAAGCAAGGGGAAAGAGGAGGGGGAGGAGAAAGAGAACGGAAACGAAGGAGGGAAGGGCACTATGAAGAGCTCCGCGTGCTGCTTCACCGGTGACGACGCCTCGCCCAGGGTTGACGATGCAATGTATGTGAGTGCTCTGAGGTGGGGATGAGGGAAAGGAAGATGAGGGAAGAGGGACAGGAACCATAAGACAATAACTCAATTCAAACCTTAGGATGTATCCCCCATACCAATGAGTCTCCTTACGCAATAATCTACTCCACATCAGTAACCCAAACTCAATTCATACAGAAACACCTACACCAGCAGCAGCAACTACGTACCCTGAGAGGTAGCCCATGATGGGGTTGATGGTCTCAGCCACAGAGGGAGTTGCAAGGTTGGGCACCACATAGCTCACAATGAACGCCCTCAGAGCATCCATGGCTGCGGACCAGCAGCTGAGAAGTCACAGGGGTGGGGTGAGATGTGAAGGGGGGGGGGGGGGGGGGGGGGGACAAGGGGGGGTGGTAACCGAAACTGAGAAGTCTAACCAGCTCAGAGATTGGCTCAGTCGCTGTAAGCTGAACGCTCAGCGCAGCGCATCATGGATGCGGTGCGGACCAGCAGCTGACACACGTCACGGGGGAAAGAAAGAATCATGTTATGGACAGGGAAAGGTGGGAATCTTGGTGGAGAGAAAATGGCTGAAGCGTGGACGCATGCACATGAAAAAGATGGATGGATATGGGCGGAAGAGAAACAAACACATGCAAAGGTCGACTCGACCAACTATACATCCACTGATGTCGACAATGAACAAAAGATCGGTGGAAACGGCTAAAAGAGTGGCAAGCGCAGAGAAGACTTTACGACAAGAGGAGCGACTAAGTGGAACAAAGATTGCGGGTGGAGAAAGCGGGAACGCACTTGAGCTCTCCAGGCATGCTTGCAGCGTCAATTCTCTTGACTCGGTCGGCGCAGCTGCCCCCAAAGGGCATGGTCCACAGAGCAAGAAACTCCACCTCCCTCCGTGCCACCTCCTGCCAGCCACCACCGCATGTGACAAGACGCGAGAGAGAGGATAGGAGGTTGGGGCAAAAGGGGAGAGGGGAATTTGGCTTTGAGTTCGGTTCGGGATGAGCCGGTTTTTGGCTAGTTTGATGAAGATTGGCATGGAGCATTAGAAAGGACAATGGGGCACGGCCAGTGAAGGAGGGAACGTAAGAAACTACTTCAGAGGAGAAAGAGGCAAGCTAAAGGATAGGAGCAAGAATCAAGGCACCCACCTCCTTGGGCATGGAGAGCAGCAGCGAGGCAATGAGGATCCAGCCCGCCTCGTGGTCTGCTGCTGCTGCTGCTGGCAGCTGGCCTGGCGACAGCACCATCTGCTGTGCCATGTCGAGAATGGAGAGTGAGAGGCTGCAGGGAGAGAGGGAAGGGCGGCGGGGGATAAGGGTGGGGAAGACAGAGTGAGGACGAGAGGTGGGGGCGAGAGTGGTGGGGGGAGATGGAACAAGGGGATGATACAATGGGTTATGGCATGCCTTCCAGTTAAAAAGAACTAGGAAAGGGAAGGGGAGGGAGAGAGCAGCAACTGTTTGATGGGTGGCAATGGCATCATAAGGAAGTTCAGATTCTTGGGCACGCTCAACTCAAAGCGAAAATGCGGAGACACGTGGCGTTCCACGGCCAAAAAGGCAAGAGGCGAGAGGCGAGAGACGAGAAGCAAGAGGCAAAGGGAAAGAGGTAAGAGGCAAAGGGTAAGAGGCAAGGGACAAGAGGCAAGGGGCAGGAGGCAAGTAGCAAGGGGCAAGAAGAAATCTTTTAGGTCACCTGGAAGGGAGACCGAGGGGCAGCTTGGGCCCAAGGACGAGCAGAGCGGAGAGCATGAGCGCTTGGCCATGCAGAGAGTCTAGAGTCAGCTTCAAACGCTCGCCCTGCAGGTATGCACAGAGACACACACACACACACACGAAGTAGTGGGTTGCAGGTGCAACAAAGTGAGGGAAAGTGGGCATTGCACTGCAATGCCGAGAGCCCATACGGAAGGAAACGCAGGGCACATCGTGAGACTATGCGTGACGTATGGCGTGCGCGGCATGCAAGGATCAAAATTACGGTCGTATTTTTGAAATGTTACCGTTTTATACAGTTTCTTATAATAGGCTCCTGTGAGAAATCGTAGAGCAATTTCAAAAATACGACCGTATTTTTTAACCTTGGCGGCATGGCATGGCATGGCAATCTACATGACCAGCCAATGGCAATGAGGAACGAGCAGAGGGAGGAAAGTGCACGCACTTTCTCTGTGTTCATGGTTTCGCTGAGTGCACACAGTGCAGTGAAGCTAGAGAGGATGAAAGAGTGGGCACGGGACGACTTTTGAGGTGCCTCAAAAATGAAAAATAAGCAGACAGAGGAGGGCGCACCTTCTCAGTGTTCATGGTTTCCCTGAGCGCACGGAGAGCAGTGAAGCCGGAGAGGATAAAGGAGTGGGCACGGGACGCGTCCACCTGCGCCAGCACCTTGATGGTGCGCGCTGCCTCCACCCGCACCTGATGCCATGCCATGCCGTGATGTGTCATGTCATTCCATGCCATGTGGTGCCATGCCGTGTTGTGTAGTGCCATGGCGTGTCATGTTGTGTAGTGCAATGCCATGCCATGCCATGACATGTTAGTTGTTGTGCCATACCGTGTTGTGCCATGCCATCACAAAGCGATCAAGCAGCGAATCCCATGCCAGGCTCATGCCCAGACCCAGTGGAACAATACCCATGGCACATACGCAAGGGTGCAGAATAAACAAGGGGATAACGTCAGCAGGGAAGCAGGCACCAGAGCACAGCACACATGCACGACCCATAATCACACACGCAGCAGCACACAGCACGCAGCAGGAGCGCATTGTACTTCATTGTAAACCGGAAGCATGGGGAACATAACACAGCATCAGCTATGTGTGCTGACGTGACTTCACAGAGCCAAAGGTCATTTAGCATGGAAGCCCGGCCCAGCTACAGCACAGAGCGGCGCACAGGGGAGTACGCACAGCAGGAGAGGAGTTGGAGAGAGTTGCCAGCAGACCGTAGTCCAGTGCCTCTCTCGCTGCTTGCGTGACCTGCACAGCACAACACCGCACCGCACCGCACCGCACCGCACCGCACAGCAGTGTGATGCAACTTGAGGCACGCGAATGCAAGGACAGGGAGGAGCGAGTCATGAATGACGACGAGTGCACAAGTGGAAACAAATCAGGGATGGAGGAAGAGAGCACGCATAAGCACGAATCGTTTCCTTTGCTTTGATACTCGTACTTTTGAAAATATCAAAAGCACGGCTCAAATCTCATTTCGACTCTCAAGGCTCATCTGATAGGATTGACCAGATTCGGTTCTACAACTACTGATGATCAGGTTGGAAGTTGGTTGGACGGGAGTGCACACACAACAAGCACAGACCTCGCCAAGCGTGTTGAGGAGGTGGGAGAGCGTGCGCAGAGCAGCAACGAGCATGTGCGGACCCATGTCACTGGCTGTCAGCTGCGCTTGTGGGCAGAGGTTGTGGGCGAGGGGTGGGAAGGGGAGCGAGGAGGGGGAAGGGGTGGGGGAGGAGGAGAAGTGGGGGAGGAGGAGAATTGGGGGAGTGTGAAGGGGAAAGAGAAAGGCTGCTGGGGTCCGGGAAAGTGCATATTGTGTGTTGTGAAATGTGATGAGTAAAGTGGATAGAAAACAGGGTGTGCGTGAGAGCCACAGCATTGTTGATCAGGTACGCATGTGGTGTGACGGCCACACAACACCGCACCACACCACACCACACCACACAGGACCTCATCTGCTGATACCATACCCAACACCAGAATAGGCACCAGCGCAGCACCACCATGCATTCAAACGGAGGATGCTGGGCTGAGGAAGGGTCAAGGGAGTGAACACCCCTGAAAGGCTTGGCTGAGATCAATCACATCACCTCACAACCTAGACACGTGTTACAGGCGGCGGGCTGGAACGACCAACCACCCATGCATGGCATGGCCTCCTTTGGATCGACTCATACCAGTCCTTCCCTTTTCATCCTTATCCCATTCCGCTCCTCTTTCCAATTCTCTACCTTCTCTCCTCCTTCTCTCTCCCCTCCTCACCGCAGTCCCACCTGGTGTGTGAGTGTTCGAGTGAACTCCCGCTGTGCTTCCTCCCCCATCTGCTCCACAAGCCCCACTTGAAGAATGTAGAGAGCACATGCCTGCACACAACCCGCCATAGCAACAACATACATCCATCTGTTAATCCTCGGTGCAAGTTCCTTAGCAACTGCTGATTGCCACGTGTATATGACTGGACGATCTATGGCTGCTTCCCCTTCCCACACGCGCCTGCACACTGACAGCAACGCCTCATTCCATCCACACCACCACATACCACAGTCACACCACTTATCACCACCACGTACCGCACCACCTCACTCCAACCCTATCCAGCACGCCACAATTCCACACAAGCCGCGCCTCCTCTTCCCCTCTCCCTATCCCTCCCATCTCCCTCTCCCCCTCCCCTGTCCCCCCTCGGCTCGCACCTGAGCCTGCGAGTCAATGGAACGAGCATAGGCGGGCAGAAGCGCCAGGGCCTGCATGCCATAGGGCACCAGGTCCATGTCTGCTACTCCATACTGAGCCCTCAAACTCTGATGGGGGGGGGGGTGGGGGAGAGAGGAGCGGCGGAGGGGGGTTAGAGGGATGGGCTGCGAAAAGGCCCTACATCGCCAGGGCCTGCATGCCATAGGGCACCAGGTCCATGTCCGCTACCCCGTACTGCGCCCTCAGACTCTGGGAGGGGACGGTGAGGGAGGAGGGAGGGAAGGGGGGGAGGGGGCGGGGAGAGATCGAGGGGGAGGGGAGAGTTAGAGTGATAGGTTGCGAGAAGGGCATGCATGGCATAGGGCACCAGGTCTGTCTGTGCTGCATACCACTGGGACGTGTGTAAGTAGATGACTTTTGAGATGTCTCACCTGGAGCAGCGCCACCCATGCCATAGCAATGGCCAATCGGATCTCCTTGCTGCGCGATGCTGGGGCTGCACACATGCACACAGACATGCACACAGACATGCACACAGACATGCACACAGACATGCACACACGTACATGCACACATGCACACATGCAGACACGAGGATTTGCACACTCATACAGCACAGGCAGATAGGCGCGCAAACAAGCATGCATACTCGCAGAGCACTCTCATGTGCACCCATGTGCATGCACACTCAAGCTCGTTGAGAACAAAGAGGCGAAGAAAACACACACACACACACACACACACACACACACACACACACACACAAAACATGGATTTTCAGACAATAACAAACTGCAGGCCTGAAGCCATGCAAAGCAGCAGGAGACAGAATCTTCTATCAGCCAGCTCCGCATGAAGCCATGATAACATGCTTCAAGCGGAGAAAAGAAGATGTCAATGCTTCACCCGACAGCAGAGGGTGTGGACTTGAGTGCAGTGGGGCGCACCTCGAACAAACGGTGTAGTGAGGTACTTCTGAATGGCATTGTCCATGGCCTTGGGGGGCGCTGCTGACGACTTGCCCCTGGGGACAATCTGCAAGCATTACACACACACATTGTGACATATGTACATGCAGTGCACACAAAATAAGAAACACATGCACGCATGAGTGTGTGCAGTGCGCCGTGCATACGCTCTCTTGCAAGAACAGGACATGACAGAACGACATGAGCAAGCAAGGAGGTTCAAGGGAGCAAACCAGAAGAACACACATCAGAAACAGCATTCGCTCACTTGCTCCCACTTCCTTCACCCTTCCCCTTTGACCTACCTCTCTATCATTCCCTCGCTCACACACACACAGCAAGAACAAACACCCAGCAAAGCTGACCTGAGCGGAAGGGTTGAGGCCGAGAGCCACCACCGCTCCCAGTGCAGCAGCAAAAGCGTCCCTCACAGCCTGCGCTGGGTCGTCCACCGCCTGTTAGTGTGCCATGCACATGCACATGCCCATGGCCGTGATCATGCCCATGCCCAAGCCCATGCCCAAGCCCATGCCCATGCCCATGCCCATGCCCATGCCCATGCCCATACCCATGCCCATGCCCATGCCCATGCCCATGCCCATGCCCATGCCCGCGCACATTCCCACGCCCGTGCCCCAGCACACACCCAGCAAAACGTTTATTACAATATCTCACACCACAACTGGGCAGCCTAACACTGAACAAATAAACAGCCATCTATATACCATGATCCTCCAATTCCTCAAAACAAGCACAAGCATGTTTCCACGCCACACGGCTTCCATTCTCCTCGTTTCATTCCCCCACTTCAGGTTTCCAATCCAGCCACACGGCTTCCTTTCTCCTCCCTCTCTTCTCTCCTCGTCCAGCACCGTCCTCCCACCCACACACAGCTACACCATAGAATCCAGCGCACCTCTCGCCAGCCCTGGTCCCCCAATACCCGTCCGCAAGTGCCTGCCTGGATGCGGTATGCTCTGGTCTTGCTCACAAAAAGGGGCCCACGATTGTCCCTCACACCCACCTTCACACACAGCTGCGCCATGGAATCCAGCGCCCCTCCCGCCAGCCCCGGCCCGCCGGTAACCGCGAGCGCCTGGATGCAGTGTGCCGTGGTCTCGCGCACCAGGGCGGACCTATCTCTCACGCCATAGCCGGAGAGTGCGCGCACTGCGTCAGTGTACGCGGAAGTGGGGCCCGCGCCTTTCATCACCTCGATTGCTGCCAGCAGCAGCTGCAGGGATGCGTTCCGCACGCTGGGCTGATGGGGGGAAGGAGTGGGGGACGCGGCAAAGGACGGTGGCAAGGAGGGAAGAGAGCGAGAGTTGGTGGGAATGAGTGTGGAACTGAAGGAAGGGGAGCCGGAAAGCCTGCAGAATGGAAGAGAAACTGAGGGCACGGAGGATGAAAATGCAGCAGCGGACCACAATGGATGGCTGGCCATGTGGAGAAGGAAATCGACAGCAGAGAAAGGAAAGGGAAATCCAACGGAGGGAGAGAACGGGCCATTTGAGGAAGCAAGCACAGACAGACCTCTGCATTGCGCAACAGCCGGCTGACAACGTTGACGGTCTCTGTGAGGCTGGATGCAATCCGCGTGCCGAACGCACGTGTGATGGTTGTCAACGCTTCCAGCGCCCCTGCTCGTGGGAGATTTGGAAGTCATGCATTTGTTGAAGGCAGTAGGTGGGCAGGATGGATGGATGGATGGACCACACGGGTCAGTGGATCATCATGTGTGACACGATTACAATACAGATCATCAGTGACTGAGCGATATTGAAGACAATGTCATCATTGCAGGGATGGGAGCGTGCATGAGAGGGAGAGAAGGGAGAATACGGGCAAAATGGTTCTTACCCTGTACTCAGAACTTGCAGTGTCATTCAAACACCACCCTTACTACACCCCATTCATACACACTCCCTCTCAACCATTTTTATCCCGTCCGTTACTACTCCTCTCCGTCGCCCTTCCACAAGCTCACTCACTCAACCACTCTCTTCCCCGCGCTCCCTTCTTTCTACCACACTCACCCACAACAGCGGTCGCCCGCTTTTCTCCCTTCTCGAAGAACCAGCCCTGCAGGCAGCTGACGCGCGAGTACACGGAGATGGAGTCCCCGCGCTCTATCACGCGCACCAGCGCGCCCGCCAGCAGCCGCCGGTTCGGGGGGCCCGCGCCCTGCAGCAGCAGCGCCTGCAGGGTGTCCTCGCTGCGCCGCTGCATGAGCTGCAGCGACTCCTGTGCTCGGGGGGAAGGACGAAGGGGTGGGGAGGTGGGAAGCGCAACGGGGGGAAAGATGGCAGATGTTGTACTCTGGTCAATGTCTACATTCAAACCCATTGATGGAAATAAAGCAGCAAATATATACAAAACATAAGAGTTAATGATGTGAGGTATCAGCCTGTGAGGTAATGATGTGCCATCACAGGCCAATTCATGGCGAAAAGAGCACCAAGACTCTTTTGGTTCTGACTGTCGGATCCCTCTTGCGGGTAGATCGAGCGAGAGGGTGCTGACGTTATTTTGTGTTCAATTTCATTCGTAACGATGGCGACAAACCGCGTCCAACCCAGCGCAAGTCGTGATAGTCTACGTTATTCAGTTACGGCTCAGACAGAGACACGGGGAAAGTTCGAGTCAAAATTCAGGTTGCCTCTGCGAAAGCACACACACGCACACCACACCCTGACATCATTTTCTCACCTCGGGTTCATGCTCGATGGAGGCATGGAGATTCTTGAGCAGATCGAAGCAGAAGAGGGGATCAGGCGGCTTCGCGGCGGCAGAGTGAAGTATAAGCTCGAGCTCCGATATCACCGCACTGAGCTTCTGAACCTCCTCCACGTGCTTCACCTCCATTGGCTGGGAAGAAGGGAGGCGAAAGAGAGAGAGACACGAGTGTAAAGAGAGCACTTCCGACAGAAATAGGCACGCTTCACACTGCCGTTAACAGGGCTACAGCTTTAGCAGGTTTGTAACCAGATTCTACTACAATGGCCCCTTTATAAGATGCCAAAAAACCAGGTGCTCAGGGAGAAAGCTATCAGGACATGCGCGCCAAGAGCTGACAGAATCCATGAGGCTCATGAGGGACATGTGCGACGGCCATTGAAATTTGTTGCATTCGCAGGCCAAATGTGCTAGACCGAGCAACGTCGCATCTGTCCGCATGTTCGCAACATGCCTAATCAGCAAGGGTCGAGCAATAAATAGGCATTAATGCAGAAAATTTAAGCATTTATTTGCAGATATCAAGACGTTCTGAAACTAGGCATTTACCGCACCGTTACGAACGATATCTATCCCGACACAACATCTGTCTGCCGTTGCAGAAGCAACGCGGACTCTGATGCATGCGAGCCTTCGCATTAAGAAGAAATAATGATGGGATCACAAAATCATTCACCGACCTGTGGAGGACGGCACGGAAATCTTGCTATATGATGAAGCCAGCACGGCAAATCGTACAGTCCAAACGACCACAATTCGCAGACCTGCGGGAAAGTCTACGACACCAAAGCTCTAAAAGGTGATCACGGAAATAATTTCTTCAGAAAGCAAACGCCATGCAGAAATCTGGAGATCTTGGAGCAAACTGACTGCAGGTAGCAGAGGGGGGTTGCCTGCTTGGCTGCACACTGACTGTGTTCGGTCGCGAGTGGCGTGGTGGACATGGGTGTGGGAGTGACAGAAAGTGGTGGCGGGAAACCGATCACCCCGACCCAGGGAACAGTTTGAGGATTAATTCTGATGATGCAGAGGTGCAGATTGTGCACTCACTTCAATATCCTGCTTGAAGTGGAGATGAAAGAGGACATCATGTTATTACTATTTAGCGACTCAGCTTGAGAACTCTCCCTTGAAATTTATGTTCAGAGTATAATAAGAATGGCTAGCTATACAGGATTAGAGCTACTGTTTATGGTATTTATATCTGATTATAAAAACTTATCTAATTTTATGAATTTAATACTGTTATGCGTATTATGAAACACAGCAAAGATCTTGCTAAACTGTAAAACTACATGTATATCAATCATATGCAGCTGGCAACACTATGCACCAGCTAAGGGCCAATCTTTTGCTAATATAAGCGTCCTACAGAAGCTTATGAAACACGGTAGCAATACGATCTTTGCAAGCTCCAGGAATGCTGGCAGCGCGACCATATCCTCGATCTTTCCCATGCAGCAGCTTAGTCAGCATCCGCCACGTCACCTCCTCGTGGTGTCCGATGGATTCATCATCCTCAGCTGATTGTCTGCCCTGCTCATCCCAAAGAATCCCCGGCTCACCTTCCTCCGCACTCCCCGGGTTTGCCCGAAACACCGCGCATTCCCCTTTCCGCGCGCCCGCAATCAAGACGAATCCGCCGCTCTTCCTATTCTCTCATGGCTGAATTGTGTGCCTGATGCCTGATCTAAAACCCCTATTTTTAGATTCCATGCGTTCTTGACATTCGCCCCATAGCTCCACCATTTATCCTTGGTAGCTTGTCAGTTCCATGCGCTAGCTCTCAGGCTGCTAGTGCGATATCTTCTTTCGCATAACACGTATTCGGCTGCTTGCGAGGTGCTCTCATTCATTTGCATCTAGCGCTGCTTTTTCAACGCCCTAGATTTCGGAGTGTGTGAGGGAGGTTCGCAGTCGTAGAGCCAGGGATTCCCCACGAGAGAAGATGGTGGACGAAATCGAGACCGAAGAGCGCAAGGAGCTCGACCTTACTTCCGCCGATGTCGTCACCAAGTATAAGGCAGCTGCGGAGATTGCCAACAGTGAGTGCCTTTCTGTACAGCCGTTTCCGTTTATGTGCCTTTCTGTGCCGTCAAGCTGTCCGTACTTTCCTTTTTTCCTTATCGGAGCTTCTGTACACACGCCTCGTGGAATTTCTTCGTCATGGTGCCTTGGCCTGGATTATGTGCGGCTCTGAGCTTACAGTATTGTACGGTCGGAAGGAATCTTGTGGAATTTTTTTTAAGATTTCCAGTCCTGAGCTGTAAAACATGGGACGTATCTCGCTGTCCTCATTCAGACATATATTCATGCGTTTTATCACATTGGGAAATTTTAAGCATCCAGTCGGGGCGCATCGTCACTTCATCATCGTTCCATTGTCTCCATGGAATGTTGTGTGTACATGCTGGTCGCTCGTCTTGTTCTGCCTGGTCATCGCGTCAAACGTACATGCTCATCTACCTGCGGTTCTGTTTCTCGTTACTTATATTGTGCGTGTTACCACCCTGTCAGAGGCACTTGCGACTGTGGCTGCACAGGCCAAGGCGGGAGCAAAGGTGCTAGAACTATGCGAGCTCGGAGACAAGACTATCAACGAGTGGGTTTCGTTTTTCCGCCCTCCCTTCCTAAGTCTTTCCCTGCATCATTTGTCTTTCGTTTGTTAAATGCGGGAAACTTTTGTCGAATCTGCCTTTTCTGACCACCCGTTCCACCTCGGCTATTTTTTGGTCGTCATCCTTCAGAGCACCGTCGCCTGCCTAGGCCCCTTCACCTGCTTGCGCAACTCCTTCGTTCTTCTCATCCTATCCCATTCGCCGCACCTGGCCGTCCATTGTCCACCCGGTGCAGGTTATCTCAGGGCGTGTTCAAGAACGCCAAGAAGAAGATAGAGCGCGGGGTGGCCTTCCCCACATGCGTGTCCGTCAACAACATCGTCTGCCATTACTCCGCCGCTGCCGGCGACGAGGCCGCTCTCGCTAACGGCGACGTGGTCAAAATGTACGCGATCCTTCGAATCGGACCCCGTTCCTTCCTTTTCTCCATCATACACCATTTCACTCGAGGGATGTGGACATACAGCATTACTACGGACCCTGATTCCTGTGTTCCTTGCATCGCATTCAGTATCGAGCAGTGGCTGTCCGATTTGACGGCTCTTGAGAGCGATTGTCCGGATTTGCTGATGCATGCCCCCCTTACCCTGCACTCCCTTCCCTCCCATATGCCGCAACTCTCTCCCCCATTCTTGCTTTTCCCTTACTGCTTTCTCCTTCCTCTTTCTCAAATCTTCATCTCCCTTCCGCATTCCTTTCTTTTTCCCATCTCCCGTTCCCCCTCCGCCGCCCCTCTGCCCGCCCCTCCCCTCCCCCCCGGTCTTCCCCCTCTCCCCCCCACCCCCCCGCAGCGACCTGGCGGCGCACATCGACGGGTTCATCGCGTCGGCGGCGCACACGGTGGTGGTGCAGGAGGACGCCGCCGCACCCGTCACGGGCAAGGCTGCTGACGTCATCGCCGCCGCCAACACCGCCGCAGAGGTTGCCTTGCGGCTCGTCCGACCGGGCAAGCACGTACGTCACAGGCAGACAGTTTCTTTCGTACGCGCTATTATGCAAGTGTTGCGAGAGCCCCGTCGTTCTCGCCCTCTCGGCCCTGGAACCCAGAGCTCGTACCCCAGTTCCGCCCTTCTCGTTCCCCTAGTTCTCCCCATCCTACTCTCCTCCCCCGATGCTCTGTCTGCACTTCTCCCGTAGCCTCTCTCTCTTACACTTCCCTCCTCCCTCCCCGCACCCCCCCCCCCCCCCCACCCCTCTCCAACCATTTGCCCTTTCTTACGCTATCCTTCCGCCGCGCCTGTCGCACCCTGTTGTCAGTCTTGCCACGCCTATCAACAATCCGTTCCTTGGCTTCCCTTAACGTTTCCTTCTTCCTCCTTGAAACCCCTGTCTGGGCCCCCTTTGCCCCTCCAGTGGCGGCTCGGCAAATGCGTCCACCGCATGCCTGTGTCCCTTCCCACCGGCCCCGTCCCTACCTGTCCCTCAATCCCAACCGTTCCCGCTTCCCTTTCCCCCCTCTTTTCCACCCCTCCAAACCCCTCTTTCCCGCCTCCCCCCACCCCCCCCCCCCCCCCGCCGGCACCCGCCTTCCCTCCTGCGCCGCCCCCGCCCCCCGCAGAACAAGGAGGTGGCGGAGGCGCTGCAGAAGGTGGCGGAGGCGTACGGCGTGCACGTGGTGGAGGGCGTGCTGTCGCACCAGATGAAGCAGTTCGTGATCGACGCCAACAAGGTCGTGCTCTCCGTCTCCTCGCCCGAGATGCGCGTCGAGGACTTCGAGTTCGAGGCCAACGAGGTGTACGCCGTCGATATCGTCATGAGCTCCGGCGAGGGCAAGGTGAGGACGGGGGGAGGGGAATGGCCGGCGCCAATGCACGCATGCACGCGCGCGGGGGGGTTTGGGATGCGCACCTGCACCCGCACCCTCACCCGCACCCGCACCGCACCCGCATACGCTCACTCAAGTTCCCCCACCCCTCTTATCGTTTTTATCAAATCCGCTTCCGGCTTTCCCGCTTCTCCTCCGGTACTCTTCTTGACTTCTTACTTCTTCCCCTCACCACCCCACCCACCACCTTCAATTCCACCTTGCACCAAACCCGTTCCTGACTTACTCATCCCTCGCATTTTGCTCCCTTCTCCCCCGCTCGCGTGTGTATGCAACTGCACATGTCTTTGTGTCCCCTCCTGTCCTCTGCTCTGCTTTCCTCTCGTATTGTATGCGCTGCTATGCCCCTCCTTGCGTGCTCTGCTGGCTCTTCTCTGCTCTGCTGCGCGGTGCTGTGCATTGTGGTGCGGTGTGGTGCGGTGCAGCCTAAGCTGGTGGACGAGAAGCAGACGATGGTGTACAAGCGCGCGGTGGACAAGGCGTACAGCCTCAAGCTCAAGGCGTCGCGCGCCATCTTCAGCGAGATCAGCCAGAAGTTCTCCATCATGCCCTTCACGGCGCGGTGCGTGGGTTCTCATGATCGTTGGGCTGCTTTCGTTGTCTTGAAACGAACATGCCCGCCGACTTGGGGTGGAAGAAAGGCCTCCTCCGCAGCCTGCCCACCTGCCCACCGTCAACACGTCGCGCGCCATCTTCAGCGAGATCAGCCAGAAGTTCTCCATCATGCCCTTCCCTGCCCGGTGCATTTCCCAGTCCACAGTTCGATTCTCCCTTCAGTGGTCAGTGCGCTTTCAGTGAATCCAAAGGTCGCCTAGAGACCTACCTACCCCTCCCCCCCCACCCCATGATGCCCATTCATTCCTCTGTGGGTTTTTATTCGAGTCAAAATTCGCTCTCACCTTAGAGAGTGGCCTCTGTCATGGCCTGTACTGCTCAGCACGCTCCCCCCATCAGCCGTCCTTGCCTGCAAAATCCGTGCATTGCACCATTGCAATCCTTTTTCCGTGGGCCGCACATATTCCCTGATTGCTTCATGTGCTGCTTGAATGTGCCGGTTGCTCTTCCTCCGCTCAAGTGACCTCTGCTCGCCACGCTGCCTGCTGTTAAACCATGTGCCTGTTCTGTGCCGCTGCTCTGCTGCCATGCGGTGCAGGGCGTTGGAGACAAAGGCAGCGCGGTTGGGGCTGGTGGAGTGTGTCAACCACGACCTGCTGCAACCCTACCCTGTTCTGCACGAGAAGCAAGGTTGGTGCATACGGGTGGTGTCGGTGAAAGTGTAGGTGTCAGTGTAGGTGTGGGGCTGGCGTAGGTGTAGGTGTAGTCAGCTGTACATGAGTAGCTGATGTTGTTGAAGGATTATGGGAAGTTGTATGAATACAGCTTTAGGGGAGAATCTCTGTTGAGGTTGACTGGTAAGAATGGCAATTGCTGGTTGCTTTAGTCATGGTAAGGCAAAAGGAAGGCTACATGGTAAGGAGGCTACAGAAGCTTTAGGGGAGCTGTCTATCCTTGCCCTAGCTCCCTCTGCCATCCATCACACTCTCGCCTTCCTGCCCGCATTCCTCTTCCTCCCATTCTGCTTCTTTTCTCCCCCTTTCCCTCCTCCCTCTCCCCCTTTCCCCCTCCCAGGTGATATCGTAGCACACATCAAGTTCACAGTGCTGCTCATGCCCAACGGCTCGAACCGCATCTAAGCACTAGCAATCCCTGTTTCCGCCCCTCTCTCACCGGGCCTCTCCCCCTGCAGGCGACATCGTGGCGCACATCAAGTTCACGGTGCTGCTCATGCCCAACGGCTCGGACCGCATCACATCGGCCACGCTCCAAACACTGCAGCCCACGAGTGAGCTGCAAGATGCCGACGTCAAGGTGTGGCTTGCCATGTCGTACAAGACCAAGAAGAAGACTTCTTCAAAGAAGAAGGGTAAGGGGGAGGGGGAGGGTGGGCTGCTTGTGGAGAAATGCGATCGGTGCTGGCTGGCTTGCTGTGACTGCAATGACGATGAGGCTTTTGTTCCCTGCTTTTTAGTTCAGTGCATGTCATCCTTGGCTGTTGGGGGTGAGAGGGAGTTCTGCCCGTACCAGTATTGGTGCTGATGCGTGTGTGTTATTTTATGCCTGCGTTTACTTACCTCTTTTGTCTTACAGCTGCTAAGGAAGGTGAAGAGGAGGCAAAACCAGCTGAAGCCTCTGCATAGTTGAACAGATTAAGGGCCTGGGCTTGGGGGAGCACTCCAGCATGAGTGCTCCTGCCGGTGTTAATCTGTGTTTTGACTCCATGATTAATCAAATCGGGTTTGGGCAATGGTCTATTTGTGGATTTTCTTCTGCTATGGATGGAGGGTTTTGGGAATGCGCCTGGTCGGGTTACAAGCTGGAGTTCTCCCACAGCACCGTATTCAGAACCCTTCTACCGAGAGGAAACCTGACGGACAAAGAGACACCCACACAATGCGCAGCTGCGACAGGCTGTTTGTGGCGAATGTGACGTGGATGCGTCGCAGAATTTGCAAGCAAACCATCCTGTTACGAGTGCCGTCCACAGCGTCGTTGTTAGCGAAGTTTGGCGAGACGTCTGAGGTGCATGACTGACTCGCGATCCTCGCGAGGCACCCTCAGCTGGCAGTTACGTCGCACGTCACACGCAACATCGAAGCTTCCGAAAGTCATCGCGACTCGCAAGGGGGCGTGTCACGGTTTAGCCTCCTATGGCTGTGAAAACGATTTGTGTAGAATAAAAAACGGTTGGGTGTGGTTCTCATTTCACGCCCTCCACTGGTTCGGGGTGCATGCTCAGGAAGGACGCGTTCAGCCAGGAGCAGCAGTTTCGGTTCAATTAGTCTCAGAAAATTGTGCGTTTTTATCACGTATATTATTCATAGATTTAGAGAGAGATGAAGCTTCCGCGTACAATTTGCGAAACTCGAACTGAATGAAGCAACCTGAAATAAGTGAGTCGCGCGAAGCCTGTTCACGCCTTGACAAGATCTTATTCATTGCTTGGATGCCATCAACTCCTAGTCAAAGCTTCGCATCCACAACTCGGATTCAGATCCACCTCTCCTCTAGATCCGCCCCCTCTACCTCTTCCTCACACAGTTTTAGGCACTGGACTTCTATCGTCTTGTTCTTCCCTGCGTCTTGTACGATTGGCGTGAGCCTTGTTCGTGTCCGAGCCGTTTATCAGCAATTACCAACACCAACCCTAAACTCGAATTTGTTCATTGAGCACCGGCAGCCATGAGTCTCATGTGGGTTGCCGTGGCCAGTCTCACAGGCTTTGAGGCTTTGCTTCTCTTCCTCGTCAGCTTGCCGCTCCCTCGTCCGCTCATTTCTCGCTTCGTTCCGCTGGTTCTTGCGGCGCTGCAACCGCTCCTGGCGGTGGTGCCGTTTTGCCTCTTCTTTCTCCTGGGTCAGTGATTTTCTGCACCTGCTCAGATGTTATTAGTAGTATTATCACTAGTTAACCCGTTTGGTGGGAGCTCTCTTTTTTATAGTTCTTTTTTTCCCCCTCTTTCATGGAAGTTCTTGATTAACTCTACTTCCTCCCCGAGGTGGCCCACGGGCTGTCAACTGCTTCCTGAACATTTGTATCTCTAGAACGATATGCACGATGTGGTGGCTTTTCGGCCTCCTCTTCTTGCCTCCTCTTTTTCCTGCTAGCTTCCCCACTCATCTTTCCCCCCTCCACCCCCCCACCCCCCCCTCCCCCCCCCTCTCCCCTCTCCTGGTGCCATTGAACGTGCCCGTTCCAGACGTGTATTGGAAGTACGAGTTTCGCATGGACTGCCGCACGCTCAGTCCCTTCCTCTTCCCTGAGTTTTCAGTCGACTCAAAAAACGACTCCCTCATCCCCTGCTTCTTCCCCTGCCGTGTCTCGCGCCCGTTCCAGACGTGTACTGGAAGTACGAGTTCCGCATGGACTGCCGCGGCGGAGCCTGCACATCAGCGGACCGCGACAGATACCAGAAGTCGGTAAGTTCCCGCCGAAGCTGTGATGGGCGGAAGCTGTGCTAGCATGCTCTTTCGGAACATTACATGTTCCGGGGTCGATAGATTTCAAACATAATAAACCTCTGAGCCTTGATAGCTCTATCTCCGAGTGATTTACGCAACCAGCACATGTCTCATGGTCACAGCCGATCAAGCTGCAGCGACTTCAAAAAACAAAAAAACCGAGCTCTGTTGGTGCTAGCTTCAGGCATGCAGGGCCTAATCAGGGTCCAGATGATAGACCAACTCGACAGGGTCCAATATCTGCTTTCCGCTCCACACCCTTCGCACAACCATCCTTCGTGGTGCTTATTCCGTTCTACCCTTTCTCTCTCCATCCCCTCAACTTCATCCTCCTTTCGCGCTTCTTGCCTTCCACTGTCTTCCCGTGTGCTGTGCACTCACCGTTACTCTCTCCAGGTCATCAAGAGTCAGCGCAACTTTATCCTCGGGCTGTTCGGCATTTACCTCTACTGGTACTAGCCATGTGCTCCCCCGTGCTCCCCCGTGCTCCCCCGTGCTCCCCTGTGCTCCCTGCTCTCCCTGCTCTCCCTATCTTGTATTTGTTCCAGCGTCGCTGGTGCAGCGGCCATTTTTTCGTGAAGACATTCGCCTGCTTGGTTTCACTGTTCCCCAGTGCATCCATACTTGCACTGCTGCTGTCTGCATCTACGATTGTTTTGAGGGCAATACGTGGAAATACCTGGTTATTCACGTCACGTCTGCATGCCTGCATCCACATGCTCACTGAACACATTTGAAAATTGTCTGCCTGTCCGGCCTCCTGTTTCTGTCTGTGTGTGTGTGCGCACGCCCGGCCTCCTGTTTCCCTGCATGCCTGCGTCCGCTTGCCTGCATGCCCGTAATTATGTGTGCATGCACGATGACAGGGTGCTGTACCGCTACTGCATGCTGAGCATGAAAGTGAACAGGCTCGAGGCCATTATCCCTGCCGACAAGCCCAAGAGGGTCACCAAGGACGCACCCAAGGAGGCGTCCAAGGAGCAGTAGCAGCAGCGGTAGCGGCAGCTGCCGTGGCTGATGATTGCTGCAGCTGCGGCTGTTGGCTGGGTAGAAAATGGGTACAGGTTAAAAATGTGGGGGATCCATTGGGCATGTGTGGAGAACAAATTGGGTGTTATGACGGTCTGGTTAGCATGGAGTGTACCGGTAGGAGCAGGTGAACAAATGAGGCTTAGGTATCCTGATGATGTCCACTTTGCATATGGGAATCATGAAGTTAATTGAAGTGCTTTTAAGGTACTCTTAATTGTTAGTGTTTTGTGTCCTTATCTTTTTTTTGTATGACACAACCTTCACCATCCCACTTTCTTCATCCTGAAGTGGCCCAGTCAGTAGAATGGGCACTTCTGAATGATAAGGGTGTCAGAATGCTATAATTGTCTAGTCAGCAGTGGGGTACTCTATAGTGAGTACAGCCCAATGTAGCCTGTAGGATTTGCTATATGTATCCTATCTACTGCTAGGGCCATCCCTCTTCTGCTGTTCATTCCTGTTTACTACTCTTGACAGAGGGCACGTACCCCTCCCTTGATCGGTCGTGCAAAATGGAAGAAGATCAGGTCCAGGGTCGTCGCTAGGATTTGAGGGCGCCTGATGCATCAGACAGGTCTGTTTTTTACCGTGTCTGATGTATCAGATATTTTCGAAATGCATGTCTCACCAATCGAATGGGTTTCTCGACGCAATTGATTTGGACTTGACCAGTCACAGCAGAATCACCCCCTTACAGCATATTCGGCCCGTCACAGCAGATTCGTCGTCACCCTGACACAGCAGATTCGCCCTGTGAGAACAATTTCATCCCTGACACAACAGATTCGCCCCCTGACACTAACAGATTCGCCTCCTGACGCATCGGATTCGCCCATTCACAACTCGAATCCCATATTCACCCCGACATAATTGGATTCAGTATCAGATGAAACCAAAACAAGAACCTGATTGATCATATAAACTCAAAAACTACTCCTTGTCAATCAGAAATAACAAAAACCAATTTCTGAAAAATCAGATGAACTCTAAAAACTCGATCTGAATATAAGACAAACAGACAAGAAATTTCTGCTAGCGACAACCCTGATCAGGTCCTCTACCGCACTACAATCCCGCGTTTTGTATAAAGAAGTGTTCCATCGTTTCCAACCGAGGAAAAAAACTACCTTGAGCAGGATCGATCGAGGAGGAGGGGACGCACCCTGACCGCGTGTTCAGCGCGTACGTTTTCAATCACCGTATGCGCCCGGATATAAGACAGTGCTGTATAGTAGATATGAGTGTTGGGCTGAAAAAGCCCTTAGGATCTTTGCAGGGGTGAACTCTGGGTAGGACTGATGTAATAGCGGAAGCGTTTAGTGAAGAATTGTGAACCACCTTGCGCTAGTATGTGAGGGCAAAGTCGATTAATTAAAGCAAAGAGATACAGGATTATATATGAGTACAAGGGATATGAAGAGGTACGGTTATAACTACTTTACTGTTGCTGTTGCGGTTCGATACAGTGACGACTCGGGCAACTGCTCTGTAGCGAGTCAGTTGTGTGTCCTTGCTATCGCGCTGTACTTGTCAGGTCAAAGGTCGCTGACCTTTGACTTTCGCGTAACCTCCAACAGTTACTTCAACCTCCGAGGGTTGACTCGCTGGTGCCTCGATATGCTTTGCTTCGCTTGTGCCTTGGTGTTTCGACACGAAAGGGGCGCTTAAGCTCGATTGTTTCCAACACTCCCCTTCGCTTCTGGAGTGTCGCTGTTGGTGACGTGGCTCTGTCCAGTCAGCAGCATGCAATACTCGAACTTCTGTTTTCCGAGCTTCTTGGTCAAGTAATCGGCTGCCATCTCGGATGTGGGGCAGTATGACAGTTCGAGTCTCCCCTTCTCGATCTCGTCCTTCACGAAGAAGTATCGCGTGGCGATGTGTTTCGTCCTGTTCGCGAAGCCGCTCTTGTTCGCTATACGAATGGCCGACTGGTTGTCGCAGAACAGGGTAAAGTTTGGTAACTGTGCTAGCTTGGCTTCCTCCAGGAGTTCGCGAAGGTACAGTCCTTCCTTGGTGGCTGAGCAGAGTGCGATATATTCTGCTTCAGCGTTATCGGCGTCGACGTAGCCGATTAGTTTAGGTGTCGACGTTCCGTTCTTATGATAAGTTAGGCCGATCGTCGGAGTGCTAACGAGGTAGTGAAGAGCGCGGTCGAGTTCCGCCAGATGTTCCGCTTCGGGTTTCTTGAGGTAGGTGGCGAGCTGGCTTGCAGAGTACGATAGGTCCGGGCGGCAGGTGACAGCTGCGAAGAGGAGGCATCCCAGCTTCCTCTGGTAGTCGTGTCAGAGGCCCACTGGTGATCCCCGATTGATCCTAGGGAAGGGTTACAGGCATGTTGGCCTGGGGGGTTATGGGCGCACTGACCCGCTACTTAACAAGCCCTTTTATCCCGATAGTCTAGTGGTTGGGATTCTGACATGGTATCAGAGCGAAGGTCTCGGGTTCGAATCCCAGTGTGTGCACTTCGGGCATCCCAGTGCGGGGGGGTGTCAGAGGTCCACTGGTGATCCCCGATCGATCCTAGGGAAGGGTTACAGGCATGTTGGCCTGGGGGGTTATGGGCGCACTGACCCGCTACTTAACAAGCCCTTTTATCCCAATGGTCTAGTGGTTGGGATTCTGACAAGTCGCGTATGCCGGCGGGCTTGAGTAGAGCGGAGCCTTCCTTGTGATTCCTGCCGTGTAGCGGTATGGCGTGGAGATGGCGGTCGGTGTGAGTGCGAAGCGCTTGGCGATGGTATCGGCGTATTTCGCTGCGCTGAGGTAGATAGCGTCTTCCTCTTCCCGGATGTTGAGGCCGAGGTACTGTGTAACGGTAGATGAGACCGTGAGCGTGAGGTCTTGCTGCAGCTCCCCTTCGAACCAGGTTGTGACACCGTCAGTCGAGCCGATGTAGAGCAGATCGTCTACATAGACGATTAGCAGGATGTAGTCGGTGCCTTTCGTAAGCCGGTACATGCCCTGATCGTGCGGTAGTTGCTTGAAGCCGATGCGAATGAGGCGAGCGTGCAGGTATTGTTGCCACAGTCTCGGAGCCTGCTTGATCCCGTAGAGCGACTTCAGCAGCAGACATACTTGGTTAGATTCTCCGTTGGAGCCGTGCGTTAACTCGACGAAGATTTCTGCGTCGACAGGAGCGTAGAGAAATGCGTTCGCTACGTCGATTTGTCGCAACTTCTTCTTCTTCATGGCGGCGATCGCGAGGAGGATTCGCAGTGAGGTGTGTCGGCTGACCGGGGCGAATGTCTTGGTGAAGTCGCGTCCGTGTTCCTGGTCAAAGCCACGTACAACCCAGCGTGCTTTGAATTTGTCGATGGTGCCGTCTGCTTTTGTTTTCACTCGGAAGACCCACTTCCCGGTGAGTATAGTCTTTGTTTCGTGCCACTCCGATAGGAACAACTTTCCAGGTGTTGCGCTCCTCTAGTACCTTCAATTCCCTGTCCATGGCTTCGCGCCACTTTTCCCTGTGCTCCCCCCCCAGAGCCTGCTGAACTGTCGCAGGCTCCTTAGGAATCACAGTGCCGTGGACTGCGGTGACAAGGCCAAGTATCTGGAGGCCACTCTGTGTGTAGCGGGGGAGTGTGGTATCCGCGGGATAAGCTGCTTCGTCACCTGCTTCTGGGTCGGGTATGAAGTTGGGCCCTATGCGTTCTGCTTCGTTGGTGTTGACTTCTGCAGGTGTAACGTAACCGTTGTCGGCGAAGTGGTAAAATACTTCGGCGTTGACGCTTTCGCAAGGGTTTTCGTCATCCATTGGGACATCGACGGAGCAGTACGGGAGAGGTCCGGCTTCCTCCGAGGCTGCGTCCACGTTCTGCTCGTCCAAGTCAGCTTCGTCCGCTGCGGAAGCGAAGGCTCGGTCTCCACGAAGTCCACTGGTGAGGTCGCGTTGTTCTTCCACGTTGGCTAGGTAGGAGTCGAGAGTGAGTCGTTCGTAGAAAATCACATCACGTGCTGCCACTGTTTCCTTGGTGTGGACGTCGAAAATCTTCCATGCGTTGTAATTCTTTTCGATGCCCAGGTGTAGTCCCCACTGTGCGCGTTGGGAGAATCGGCCGGCTCATGCAGATGGGGGTTGGTACTGTACCATGCAGCCGAAGACTCGTAACATTTTTGTGCTGCCCAATTTTCCTGTCCAAAGCAGATGCGGTGATGCGTTGTTCGGGAGCGATGATGACGAGAGCAAGTTGTGCAGCATGACGGCGTGGTCCATTGCTTCGGGCCACTGGTGGTTGGGTAGCCGCATGCCACGTAGCAGCTTGCGCATGGTGTTATGGAGGGTCATGTTCATCCTTTCTGCTACACCCTGCTGTTGATGGGCGTAAGGAAGGGAGATGAGCCTCTTGATTCCCTTCTCTGCCAGGTAGTCCTTGAAGCGTTGTGAGGTGTATTCTCCGCCTCCATCTGACTGAAAACTCTTTAGTTTCACTCCGGACTCTCGTTCTGCTGCTGGAAGCCAGGCGACGAATGCTTCGAAAGCCATGTCGCGACTCGGAAGGTTCAGGTGCCAAACGTATCGGGTGGCGGCGTCGATGAAGGTGAAGGTGTAGTTGTAAGCTCCTTGTCCTGGTACGCGGTTGTACAGGATGTCGCTGTACACCTTTTCAAGCAGTGCGTATGCTGGTGCACTCGGGTTGTGGTGAGGGACAAACGGTTGATGCGGTAAGTCGGCTTCAGGACATGTGAAGCATGTCCCTTTTGCTCGTTGGAGTTCTCTCCCGTCATGTTGTAGGAGCGAATCTTTGTCGAGCACTCCTGCTCTTATCGTGTTGTTTAACATTGTGTTGCTTGGGTGTCCCATTCGTGCATGCCAGATTTCTTCGCTGGCGCGGTGTCCGGGTGAACGTCGGTACATGTCGGAGTTGGAGTAGAAGCTGGCGGTGAAGTTGGCGCTTCGATGAACTTCTCGTGGTGCTGGGTGCAGTTGCTGCGCGGGTGTCGGTGGTGTGTCGTCG